GTATGTTAATGCTTTTGCTATGACTACTGAATCTTTTCCTCTTTTTTTTTGGATTAGAGAGAGGAGCAGCTCGAGAGGTTGTTGGAAATGCAGCAGTTTGGTGATACATCGGTAGGGATGTGGTCGAAACCGACAGTGAGGAGGAAGACAAAGATCGTTTGCACCGTTGGTCCGTCGACCAACACACGAGAAATGATATGGAAATTGGCTGAAGCTGGGATGAATGTTGCTAGGATGAATATGTCTCATGGAGATCATGCTTCACATAAGAAGGTTATTGATTTGGTTAAAGAGTACAATGCACAAACGAAAGACAACACTATTGCTATCATGCTTGATACCAAGGTTTGTTTTTGTTCTTCGTTTATTTATTTGCTTGAGAGTGTTTTTTTTATGTCCTTGTGTCTTTGTTGACGATTAGTTTCATTGTTCATATAGGGTCCGGAAGTTAGGAGTGGAGATTTACCACAACCAATTATGTTAGATCCAGGTCAAGAGTTTACTTTTACTATTGAGAGAGGAGTCAGTACACCAAGTTGTGTCAGTGTTAACTATGATGATTTCGTCAATGACGTGGAAGCCGGTGACATGCTTCTTGTTGATGGTATGTAGATCTTACTGACTGGTGTAAAAGTGTTTTAGTTTTTGCCAATATATTGATGGCTCTATTGATATGTTGTAGGTGGTATGATGTCATTTATGGTGAAGTCTAAGACCAAAGACTCTGTCAAATGTGAAGTTGTTGATGGTGGAGAACTTAAGTCAAGGAGACATTTGAATGTCCGAGGAAAGAGTGCAACATTACCTTCAATCACTGGTTCGAATTTCTGTTCACTTTTTCTTGTTGGTTTGGTTGAATTGTTACATATTTAAGTCTGAAGGATCTTATTCTGATGCTTATGTTTTATTTGTAATAATTTTCTTCTCGCAGAGAAGGATTGGGAAGATATTAAATTTGGAGTGGAGAATAAAGTTGACTTTTATGCAGTTTCCTTTGTCAAAGATGCTCAAGTGGTACACGAATTGAAGAAATACCTTCAAAGTAAATAAGTGGAACCACCGCTCCTATCCTAAGTGAATGATTTGCGTATGATTTTTCGTTTTTGTTCTAATCTTGAGTTTTTTTTTTTTTGTTACAAATATTTGCAGATTCTGGTGCTGATATACATGTGATAGTGAAAATTGAAAGTGCAGACTCCATACCTAACTTGCATTCCATTATCACAGCATCAGATGGGGTGATCTTTTCCGTCAACCTTCTCTTATTTGATATTTTCCGTACTTTTATATGCCTTGAAGTCTGTAATCTCCTTTTGTGAGAGCAACTGATTGGTGTTACTGCAATATATATTCTGGTTGGAATGGCCCTTCTGCATGTGATTCCTAATAGATTTGTGTATGTCTTTTTCAGGCAATGGTTGCTAGAGGTGATCTTGGTGCAGAGCTTCCAATTGAAGAAGTCCCCATTCTTCAGGTTAGTACTTGCCTCTCATTTAAGATAAACCAGATAATGAGTTTTGCCATTTCCACAGATTTAGAACTTCTTGCAGTTAAAACTCTTGATTTAAATTTGTTATACAGGAGGAGATCATTAACCTATGCCGGAGCATGGGAAAAGCTGTAATTGTTGCGACTAACATGCTTGAGAGTATGATAGTTCATCCAACTCCAACCCGGGCAGAGGTCTCAGACATTGCTATCGCTGTTAGAGAAGGTGCTGATGCAGTTATGCTTTCAGGAGAAACTGCTCACGGAAAGTAAGTGGCGGATTCTTTTCATGTAATCTACTGATTTAGCTTATAATGGTGTGAATCTGAAAAGATTGAAGGTTTATATGCACGAATCTGAACTTTACTTGGTATCAGGTTCCCATTGAAAGCTGCTGGGGTGATGCACACGGTTGCATTGCGAACAGAAGCCACCATTACTAGTGGTGAAATGCCACCTAATCTTGGTCAAGCCTTCAAGGTAAGCCACACCTGATTTTCTATTCTTGAAACTCTGCACCATTGAGTATTTATGTAGGGTTAGTCTATTTGCTATCTAATCCATACTAACAAGAACATTTTCTTATTGTCTACAGAACCATATGAGCGAGATGTTTGCATATCATGCAACCATGATGTCAAACACACTTGGAACTTCAACTGTTGTCTTCACCAGAACTGGTTTCATGGCCATTCTGCTAAGTCACTATCGTCCTTCCGGCACAATCTATGCCTTCACAAATGAGTAAGTATTCCATGTTTATTCTTTTAGAACAATGACTGTGACAAGTGTTATGTTATAGGAACTCACTGTAGAGGTTTTGCTCTGTAGGAAAAAAATACAACAAAGATTAGCATTGTATCAAGGTGTATGCCCCATATATATGGAGTTTTCAGATGATGCAGAAGAGACTTTTGCTAATGCCTTGGCTACATTACTGGTAAGTTCATTGCCCCTAACTAAATGTAGCTTTTGCTAGTATTTTATTGGTGCTAAAGAGTTGAGCTGGTAAACGTTGGATGAAACAGAAACAAGGAATGGTGAAGAAGGGAGAGGAAATAGCAATCGTACAGAGCGGTACACAGCCAATCTGGCGATCTCAATCGACGCATAACATCCAAGTCCGCAAGGTTTAAAGCTTTTGTCTTTAATATGTAGAACCGTGGTTTTGGTTAATTTTCGTTGCATGTTTCTTGTACTCTTAAAACTTGTTGTTTGCTGTATCTTCTTCAGTTTGCTTTACTACGATTATGTGTTTTTGGAGACATTATTAGCTTAGTAACTGTTTGTGAGACAGATCTTAACTTAGATGAGTAATAAAAGTGTTAGAATCCCCTAATACACACTTAGTTATGTCAACATTACCGGTTGAATTCATTTGTAGGAGAATTATTAGAAATATGGGAACAGTACACTAAACAAGCTTAAAGTCAAGAGACTGTAGAAAACTCAAAAACAAATCATAGATAGGGATTTGAGACACGTCCTTGGACTAGTTGGGTCCATGTGTCATTTACTACCTTTCTATTGATCTAAACTCATTTGAGAAAGATGAATAACGACCAAGAAGAAACTGATCCTTATGAACTAAAGCTCAACACGAGTCAACAGTCAACACTTTAGACAATCTCAAAAACAGTCTCTTTAAAGTTGAAATCACAGATGAAAGATCATGCTGTTTCAAAGATGAATCACATAATCACAATTATTTTCAGTTTTGGACATCAACAACATATGCTTGTAATCAATTCCGTAGACTTTTAATCATCTAAGAGAAAATTGCATGAACAAGTTCATTTCCCTAGGACAAAATAGGTGTTTCATTTACCTAGACTTGAGTTCATTTATACATAATTGTACATTTTAATGTCATTTCATTCATGCATATATATTGGTTAAACTTATTCAAGATATTTCATTGTTCTTATGTGATTTTATAAACTCAAAGCATCTTATTCAGTCATGTTCATATCGGTTTAGCATTTTATAAAGTCAAAATGATTTTTTTGTTGTTATCTAATTTTGTATAATCTGCCTCTGTACTACGGTGCATGTATATGTTCTCTCCGTTTGAGAATTCAAACTATAAACTCCAGTTTCATCATTTACTTAAGTATGTTTCTTTCTTAAACATATTCTTGAATCTTGACGTGTTCTTAATGTATATTCTCATAATTTTGTCTCATCTTCTCCTTATCTCTATTCAAGTAACATCTACAGGATTAAACGATCTGTTTTCTTGAGATTTAATTTTGAGTGTTGTTATGAGAAGAGTCAGAGTTTGTCTCTGTTACTTGTTCACCAAGCCCACTCACTCAATAAATATGAAGTTCACTAACTCAATCCGATCACTCACTTTTCACAGCCATAGCCAGTCTGGTATTTTCAAATGCCATATGCAAAAAAAAAAATTTGTGCCTTTATACTTTTCTTTTTTTGTAAATTTACAATAATATAGTAATATAAAAAAATTCATACTAAAACTTGATAAAACAGCTTTTAAATCTATGAGCAGTTTGTAAAAAAAAATATAGTAAAAATAAAATTATTTTCTTTCAATTTTATTCTTCAAAATAAGGTCTTCGATTCTGTAATTAAAGTCATGTTCCTTAGCATTCAGACAGAAATGAAAATAACAATGGAATCAATCAAAGAGAAAATTTTGTACAAAATCTTTTTTTAGTGAATATATTTTTCTGCTTAATTAGTATTTTACTAACTTAAAAGCTTAAACCTCACGAAATATGGTAAAAGAAAATCTCAACAAAAAAAGAATTATTAACAAAATCTAAAATAAAAATGTCTTTTCTCTTTAGATGTCCTAAACCATTGCTTGGGTAGCTTATGTTATGGACCGATTTTACAGCTTACTCACTCTTCTTTCTTTTTCAAAATGGTTTCATTCAAAGCAGTTTTCAAAACCTTCATCAACTCAGTCCTCAAAGGAATGAAGACTGCATCTCATGGTTCCAAACCCGAATAGAAAAAGCTAGGCTTGGTTGGAGCTGAAAATGTGGCAAAGAAGATCCAGAGGGAAGGAGGACTTGAGGGAGAACTCCAGAATAGTTTATCGTTGCATGAACATCAAAACTCCAGAACTCCAGATAAACTATTTAGTGTTGTAAATAAAATGTAATGTTAAAGTTCCATGAACATCAAAATTGTCCATAAATAATAAATATCAAAATGTAATGTTAAAGTTGCATAAATATCAAAATTGCTTAAATTTTTTAAGGACCTTATACTATTATTACTTTAAATTTCAAAAAGGTTGCCGTAACTTTAAATTGAAATTGTTGTGTACTTGTGTTTACCAATACTGCGCTGGCGGCTAATCAACTGCTCTTGGTCTAAACGTCATTCTCCGGAGAGGAAACCAAGGGTGCTTTTGTCTTTTTATGTATTAGAAATGGCAGATACTTTTTTATTTTTTGGGCAAAATAGAAATAGCAGATACCATAACAGGTTTTTTAATGTGATTATGTAAAATGAAAATGTAGAAGATGGCATAATCGTTAAAAAATCTCTAAATTTAAATTGTAAAGACAAGTCAGGAGGTTTAGAAGCGTCCAAAATTTGTTGGGCCCTTTTTATTAGACTTGGGCCGTCACACCATGTCCACCTTTACGAGCAGGCTTTGGGGACACGGACGAGGTAAAGCGGGCACATGCATTGAGACAATATTACTCTTTTGAACAAGAAAATATTTGAGCTTTAAAGTTGGAAGTTATTTAGTGGAGAAACGATCCCACAAAGACTTGGTGGGCAAGGTCAGGAGGGTTTTTAGATGGAGGAGATAAACAAACTCTTCTATTAGGAATTTCTTGCTTTCCCATTACGAACATAATCGCTATTCATGTTGTCTGTGCTTCTCAGCCGGAGCCTCCGCCTTGTGAAACCTGCGACCGTGAGATCATTCTTCTTCTGAGCCTCACTAATGGCTTCTCAACTTCCTCGCTGCAAACTCCTCCTTGTTCCATCCTCCGCGCTGAACCTTGTGGAGAGGATCTCGGCAAACTCATCATTTTGACTGCTACTGGGGAGCTCAACACTTTGGATAAGAAAGTGCCATTGGAGTTGATGAAGGAAATGGTAACGATGCTGGGTAGCTACTTTAAAGAACGATGGAATAGTGCGTCTCCAAGACGATTTAAACCCGTCTGCATCTGATTTAGATCCGAAACGCATTCCCCTGCCTCCTCTTGTGACTCTGCCTCATTGCCAAACCCAAGTTGTCACCAACGTGGCCATGTCCTCATCTTCTCCTGAGGATAAAGAATGTGTTGTGGCTGTCAAGTTCTTAGGACCTCAGATCAGCTTATGTAGACCAGCTCAAAGAAACTCCCAGTGGATCAACATCAGAATCGAAAACCCATGTTTCCACTCCTCCCCTGTTATGTTTTCCAAGAAAGATGGCATGTTTCACATTCCCGGATCTGGAGGTCACCTCATTGGATCATGGGATCTCCACAAACACAAGAACAAACCCAATATTCAGAGGCTGCGATTCAAGAACCTTCCCGAGCTCACCAAGACCAAAAGGGAGCTTTTGCATTCGTGTTGCACAAGCCAACACTTGGTGGAGTCAAGAACTACGGATGAGACTTTCTTTGTCAAGTGTTACAGGAAGGCCACATCCAGGGGCGTGGTGAAAATGAAAACAAAAGCTGTAATGGTCTTCAAGCTAGACGAAGAAGGAAACGCTGTTTACACTCAAGACATCGGACATCTCTGCATTTTCCTCTCAAAGTCTGAACCGTTTTGTGTCCCTGCTAACTCCATTTCTGGCATGTGCCCTAACATCGTCGAAATTTTGGATGTTGATGAATCCGCCATTGTCGGGTTGGATGAGTCCTCCCTCTTTAGTTATAGTTATACATTCCGGGCCCCTTATCATATTCCACCACAAAATATATTAGACTAGTTTAGTTTGGATTATGAGTCTGTCTTTCCACCTAAACCATCTTTATGTATAATCTCTGTAAGATTGATAAGCATATGCTAAGATGCTCTTGGAGTTAATTTGCTATCATCTCTCATAAGTCTCCCAACTAATTATGTTTAAACTTTATATCCAATTAGCAGCAATATAATCACTCGTTTAAGAAAGTTGTCAAAATTAGAGACAGTGTCCCTTTGTACTTTCACAATTGTAGCTTTACGTCTTGGATCTTTATCAACTTTCTTCTTAGCTTTAGAATCCAAAAGTAAGTTTAAGTGTTTGTAACTGTGACTTTGTGTTTGGAGATCGTGTAGGTTTGAAAACCAAAGCTGATAAGTACATAAAATAGAATAGTGTGTGATAAAGAGCCCATTTAATCTCTTCGAATCTGAGTTTAACTGACTGATTTACTGAATCATATGACTCTGTTTCTAATGAAGAAGTCTATTGTTCTTGCTTATGATACATCATCAAAATGTAGATAATTTTTTCGAAAATTATGTCATGACCAAAATTTGTTTAAGACAGAAACAAACATTTTCATCCTTATCAAAAGATGTGCTGTCTTTGCTTTTAACTCGCAATCATGAGATATAAACCAAAGTGTTGACCAAAAAAAGAGATACTATAAACCAAAGTTTGGAAGTTTCCACGGATTAATCTTTGCTCGTTTGCAAAAACACTAAGTATCATTAATGTTACGGATTCTTAAAAAAGAAAAAGTGGAAAGAGAAATATCCAAATACTTGGTGGAGATGGAAAGCTTGGTGGGCAAGGCCATTACTCTGTATTAATACTGGAGGTTTTTAGGTTCAATTAGGAATTTTTTGCATTTACATTAAGAACATCATCTTATTCATGGCTCTACTTCTCAGTCGGCTCTCGAGACTCCGCCTTGGGAAACCTGTGTTTGTAAGATCTTCTCTTCTCCATTCTAATGGCTTCTCAACTTCCTTGCTGCAAATCCCTCCTTATCACGTCTTCAGCGCTGATCCTTGTGGACCAAGATACCCGGATCTCGGTAAACTCATCATTTTCAAAGCTAATGAATATGACAGCACTCACTTGGAAAAGAAGGTTCCAATGGAGTTGGTAGATGGAAAGGCCATGGTAACGATCGGGTCATCTCATGGCTGGGTAGCTACTTTGAAGGACGATGGAGTAGTGCGTCTCCAAGACGATCTAAACCTGGTTGCATCTGATACAGATCCGAAACGCATTCCCCTGCCCCCTCTTGTAACTCTGCCTCATTGCCAAACCCAAGTTGTCACCAACGTGGCCATGTCTTCTTCTTCTCCTGAGGATGAAGACTGTCTTGTGGCTGTCAAGTTCTTAGGACCTCAGATCAGCTTATGTAGACCAGCTCAAAGAAACTCCCAGTGGATCAACATCAGAATCGAAAACCCATGTTTCCACTCCTCCCCTGTTATGTTTTCCAAGAAAGATGGCATGTTTCACATTCCCGGATCTGGAGGTCACCTCATTGGATCATGGGATCTCCACAAACATAAGAACAAACCCAAGATTCAGAGGTTGCGATTCAAAAACCTTCCCGAGCTCACCAAGACCAAAAGGGAGCTTTTGCATTCGTGTTGCACGAGCGAACACTTGGTAGAGTCAAGAACCACAAATGAGACTTTCTTGGTTAAGTGGTATAGGAAGGTCACCACCAGTGGCGTGGTGAAAATGAAAACAAGAGCTTTAATGGTCTTCAAGCTAGACGAAGAAGGGAACGCTGTTTACACCCAAGACATCGGAGATCTCTGCATTTTCCTCTCAAAGTCTGAACCCTTTTGTGTCACTGCTAGCTCCTATCCCGGCATGTGCTCTAACAAAGTCCACACCTTGGATGTCGACGAAGACGCACTTGTCGATCTTTCTGATTCCTCCATCATTAGTGGAATTTGTACTTTCGGGTCCCCTTACTATATTCCACCTCAAAAATTTGACTCTTAGGCTGGAATTATGTCCCCTAGTGCTAGAAGAGTCTTGTCTTTTCTTAAACCTTTCAAATATCAAATCTATTTTATATATTCTCTGTGAGATTGAGATGCATATGCTCTTAAATATACCACCTTTTGGCACATTTGATAATCTGCGATGACTCGTCTTCATGATCAGATATATATGATGAACTAGAACTCTGTTCTTTGGAAAAAGGTTCTTTTCCTACCTTTGCTGCAGTTGGAGAACAAAGTTGACTTATACAGTTTCCTTTGTCAAAGATGAATATGAATGAGTACATCTTGTCCTAAGTGAACGTTTTGCCTAGAATCCTTTGTGTCCTGAAAAGTAGATTAGACTTAGATCTCCCAAACAAAACGAATGTCTTTTGTTCGAAATTGGAACACAAAATGAATCACTCATTCTTGTATTACTATATGATGTTGTAATAAATACAATGAGACTCCATCTATATATAGGGTTTGAATAACTAACTCTAACAAAGAACATCCCTGTTCCACTCCAACTCTACTTATTCCCATTTCCATTCTTAATGATACATTTCATTTTCCCATTTTAGGCATCATTCTCTTGTAAGTGGGACTTCAGTGTCGTCTTCATCTCCAGGTCCGAGTCTTTAAACGGGGAGAGAAAGTTTACCTAAGAAGAATCATCCTGAAACAAAGCCTTTGGTACTGAACTACGAGGCAAAGCCTCACACTCGTAGCCATCTTTGTTACCAGTTCGTGTTCGTTTGGTCTCTATTGTTGTCATTGGTGTCTCACATACTCTATCATATTCCACTGACCTTTGCTCCTTCTTCCTTTTCACCATTCTCGGTTGCTGGTCCGCCTTGCCTTTAGAGTTCTTTACTTGTTTTGGTGCCCAAACTCTACAAAGATCAGGCATCCAACTTGTGAAACTCGAGAATCTTCTTGCCCTCTCCCTCATTTCTTGTGCTTCAACCTCTTTCTTAGCTTCTCTGCACTCCTCAGTGTTTTTCTGCTTACTAGTACCAGGAACATCTTCATTTCTTTGACTATGATGATGACTTTTGAAATTGCTATGGATATTTTCTCTCCCTGATTGACTACTGTCTTCATTGTTCATGAAACTATCTTCAAGATCCTCATCAGTGAACATGAGCAGATCCATCTCTGTATATATTATATTGACAGCTTCTCCAAGAACATGATGATACCTGAGAAGGGCCAAAAGTCAGATGCATTAGCATGAATACACATATGACCAAAACAACAATATAAGTTCTGAGAATGGCATTATATACCTGGCTTTTATAGATTTGTCGACATACTTATCAAGGCTCCACTCACCAAAGAATCCGCCATCTAACTTACACTGAATGCCCTCAAGGAACATGCAAATCTGTTTTGCAAACTTCTGTGTCACAGATTCTTCACTTCCCAAACCTATCTTACATCTTAGAATCTCCATCCTGAAAAGAATCTGCAGCTCGTATCTTATAGCTAATTAAAGAAAACAGAACAACAATGCCAAACAATTCAGCTTAGATAAATGAAAAGAAAGCATCAGTTAATAATACCAAGTCAAAGCATAAGAATAAGTTGGCTACTGTAACCAAACAGAAAATAAAAGGATACTCTCTAACGATGCTACTGGGTGCAGCTTCATCAGCATTCCGCTCACTTTCCATTGATGATGAATCTTTCTTTTTGAACTTGGCAACTAAATCTTTCGGATCTTTCAGTAACATCTTGGTTAGCTCGTCAGTAACCAACAAGAGGGTTCCACTCTCACAGCTATAGTCCTTCTCAGCTCCTTGAGAGGAGTAGAAGACACAGGACTTGACAAGCCGCTCGGCCAGAGCTGACAAGTCTATTTCCTCAGACTCAATCCCTTGTTTGATTTTACTAGGAAGACTAGCGAAGAAATTCTCTGATGACTCTGATGCATGAACAGAAGCATCATTTTCCTGCTTTCCAGATATACGATTTCCACTCAAAGCAATGTCCTCTTCAGCTACAGGTAAAGAAGAGCTAGCCTTTTCTGTCTCTTCAGAGGAGTTACTATTTTCCTCAATCGGATTTGCTCCCACATCTTCCAATGCATTGCAATAACTAGCCACGGATAAGCTGCAGCCTCTGGGTTTACTAATCTGTTTCATCCAACATTTCAGAAACTTAAATTTCTTGGACTTGCTAAACTTGGAGAAATAAACATCTTCTAGATCTATTTGACCATAATCTTTCACTGATCTGCAGAACTCCTCCCAGCTAATGTCATTAAGAGTATTTTTTCTTGGTTTTCTTTTATATACGTTACAACTGACTTTCTTCCTACTATCTTCATGATCCACAGTTTGAGGAGAGACTCCATTCTCAAAAACACAGAGTAAAGCTGACGAGAAAGTGAAGGGCTTGAGGATTCCTGTCCGCAAACTACCATTGCTATTTGAAAAAGATACCAGTGCTGAGTAACCTTCCCTATAGAGATAACTTAATAATATCTGCCAAATGGGTGATGATCTTTTCGCTACTTTCTCACCTGTCTCCTTCACTAATATCTGAAGAACCCGGTCTGCCCAAAACACACTCTCCTGCTCCTGATCTTGATCAGATTCCTGGGAAACTTCATGAACAACAAAAGTATCACAAGTATACCTCTCTAGTTCAATAAGATCATCACACATCCTCAAGGCTTTAATACTAAGTTTGGTAACCCCACCACAAAACTGGTCAATTAGAGAGTCCTGATTGACTGGTTCAGGCCCACTAGCTAAGTTGATAAAATCATCACACCTCTTCCCACTAGAAATTTCAGAAGAAGAAAAGTCTAGCTCACCGCACTTGCATTCCATAGGTTTACCATTAATATCTTCAATCTCAAGACTGGCTTGAACAGTAAATTTCTGACTAGCAGATAGCTTCGGGCAAATACCAATTGTAGGATATATTAATCCAAAGGGAACAATTGACGAACCAAAAACAATTGAATCCGTAGAACAATGTCCCCAACCCAATTCTCTAATCCCACTATCGAAAAACCCAGACTTCAATCCCAGTTCACAAATTTCACCAAATCCATCTCCAGATTTAACATCAATCCAGCTTAATTGAATATCTCTATCATCAAATAACTCATTCACACAGTCAAAAATCTCCCTTAACTTTGACTTGAACAAATCCAAGTCGCTAAAACATTTATCACCAGTCTTAACATCAAGAAACTCAGAAACCCAATCCAAATCCCTAGAAATTGGGGAAAACATCACGACCAAATTCGACCTAACGATATCTAACCCACCATCAGTAAATCCAGGAATCATACCTATCTCCGGATCTCTAACCACAGGCTCCCAAGCGTAATCATAAACGATCTGTCGCAAATTCGCCGCGACATTAACCCCACGAGGCGATGCCGCCACCGCCAGAGAACTGGATCGAAGTTCGCATCGTTTAACCGTGTCGATGGCGCGTTTAAGAGAGACAAGTGTAGGGTTAGGAAGGTCAAATGAAAGTGAAGAAGATGAAATTGAGAGTGAAGAGAGCTTTGAGGAAGATAAGAGAGAAGAAAGAGAAGAAAAGAAGAATTTGAAAGAGAAGAGAGAAGCAGATAAAGGAGGAAACGAGAGAAGCTTCTCGGCGGCGGAGATCACGACGGCTAGGTATTGCTCCGAATTGGGTTTGACCAGAAGCGGATTAAGATCTATCAAAAGCACGAAACGCTGCGTTTTGGCGTATAACAAATCTCCAGCCATTGAAATGAAACAGAGAGAAAAGATTCGATTTTGGGTTTTGGGGTTGAAGAAGAGAGAGAGGAGGGAGTGAGCTACGACGAGGTTATGTTTTTGGCGGGAAATTATCATGCCACGTCATCAGATAGTAGATTTATTGGGTCTTACTACATCATAAGCCCATTTATAGCCCAACAAGACTGGTGACGTGGCAAATTGAAGATAGAACAAAGATTACGAAAACTTCCTCTGCTTCAGATTTTCTCTCTTGATTTTTCCGGGAAAATCAGGAATTTTCTCGGAGAAAATTTTCGTAATCATGAACTGTGTTTCTACATTTGAATTGATTCCTTCAAGTGCTCTATTTCCATGTGCAAAATTATCAATCCCTGCGAAATTTCTTCACATTTCGAGCTCAAAAGCCTCAATTTTTCCCAGATGTCGTAGTTTCACTTTTTCTTCTTCTTTCTCAATTCGGAGGAAACCTTTAATTCTAGTTTCTTCGAAATCTTCAGACGCGGAGGAGGTGTCAGATACGGAGGACGAATGGCTGAAGAAGCTACCGGAGAAGAACAAGCCACTGTATTCGCATAGCTTACCTTGTATCGAAGCGTGGCTGAAGAAATTAGGGTTTTACCAAAGTAAAGACGATAGAGCTGTTTGGTTGATTAAGAAACCTGATTGGCATGCTCAATTATCTCTTGACGTCACGGATCTCTGCATTAGGTATAAAGCTGATTGCTTTTGTGTTCCTGAAGATCGATTCTTACATCAATTTTTTCCCAAAATGTGTATCTTTGTTCTTCAATAGTGTCTGCAAATTTTTAGTATCCAAAGATTCCTCTATGAATGATTCTTAGTTAGTTTTGAAACCAAAGCTACTTGTCTTGAGAATGAGGATACTGAATCTGGATAATGGTATGAAGATTAGTTTGTTTTAGCCTGGATAAGTATATGTATGGCATAATGTGATGATTAACCTCTTGAAGATGATAGTGTAGTGAATCCTAGTTCAGTCTTTGTAGTGCGGATACTGATTGTTATGTGGTTGCATCCGCTGTTGGTAGACTCGATCTTAGGACAAATCTCGACATTTTAATTCGAAGGAGTTGAGTGTTTTCTGTGTGTAATTTGCCAAGTTGGACTAACTAGATTGCTTGTTATGCAGGTACTTGAAAAGCGGGCCGGGAAATCTAGAGAGAGACATGGAAAGAAGGTTTAGCTATGCGTTGAGTAGAGAAGATACCGAGAATGCCATACTCGGAGGACCTTAAAGAATATAAAGAGTTTGTTGAGCATCTTTGTTCTTAAACTTTGCTTATGCTATTTCAGTAGTTTCCCATTATATGATGCATTTGCTTCTTTGATCCGAAAACCATTTTATTTATCACGATTCTTTAGCCCCGTCTAAAACCCGCCTGAAGAACCTTTGCATTATCTAAGCTACTACTTATATGTGAAATTTGGTGTGTAGGCATCCGCTGTGTTAGCACAATTCTAATTGCATAGCATTTGGTAGTACCAATTTACCACACCAGTTTACTGGTGTTGAGAGTTGAAACCAAATTGAAGTTAAATAAGTAAGTGGGTCAAAAGAAAATTATAACTTTCACATCTTCTGTTTCAAAACTTAAGCAAGACTACATTTACATTAGTCAACTCAATTAATGAAAAAAAAATTAATAGTACCAATTTACCACACCAGTTTACTGGTGTTGAGAGTTGAAACCAAATTGAAGTTAAATAAGTAAGTGGGTCAAAAGAAAATTATAACTTTCACATCTTCTGTTTCAAAACTTAAGCAAGACTACATTTACATTAGTCAACTCAATTAATGAAAAAAAAATTAATACATCAAACTTAAACATGAGTTACATATTGAAACAAAAATTTAAAGTGATATGTTACTCTTCAATTTATCATAGAAAATCTTGTTTCCTGATCCTATAAATTCCAAGTCTCTTCATATATCCTAAACCATCCCAAGCATCTAAGTCTAAAACAAAACCAAAAAGGAAAAAAAGGAAAAGGTAGAGAAAGGCTTAACAAGAAAGATGGCAAGCAAAACTGTTCTCTCAATATCTTTAATGGTTTCCCTTTGTGTTGCCATATTTGTCACTCAAGGAGTAGCTCATACGCAAACACCGCCAACGGTTCCAGGACTTTTCCCACCTGGCTTACCTATTGATCTTGTAAAATGTTGGTCGTCTCTCTTCAATGTTGAAGGATGTGTGCTCGAGATCGCCAAATCAATTTTCTCCGGAAAATTTGAAAATGTCGAAGCCGCATGTTGCAAGGCGTTTTCGACCTTAGATGCTAACTGTTGGCCCCAAATGTTTCCGTTGAATCCGTTCTTCCCTCCTCTCCTCAAGGATAACTGCGCTCGCATTGTCCCCAACTCCCCTACACACAACTAAGAACAAGAATGATCGTTGATCTACATTTTTAAATTAGTCGGTAGCTCAAAATTCTAATAAGTTAGTTGTTAATTTTTTTAGCAAAATGTGAACTCGTATCTTCGAAGAGCTCTTTATATAGGTTTTTTCTCAATAAAGTAAAATTTCAGCAAAATTCATTTTAAAATTTTCCATATTATATAACTTTTATAAATGTGTCTTGTTGGTTGCACAAAAGGAAAACATTGGAAAATCTTACCTCAAAATTCAGTAACCACACAAACCGTCTCATATTATTCATTTTGGTTATTTCCGGTTTAATTGGATCAGTTCTGTACCGAAATAGTATCGAGCGTTTTAACGTTATCCAGAACGAAACAGAGTAACGAAAACTTTTGCTCAAGGGTCATGGCGATGCTCTTTCTACCTCCTCCTACGCAATGTAGAAGCTTCTCTCCTTCTGTCTTCAACCACATCTCCAGAGAAATTTCATTGTCTCTTCTCTCCTTGAAAACCTCCGGCGACGAAGAAAACTGGGTTTCACGTTTCCGGTCAAAATCTCTCAGTTTGGTGTTCTCTGGAGCCCTCGCTCTCGGTTTATCTATATCGGGTACGTTTCTATGTTCCTTCTCACCAAGATCATTGCTTTTTGACTCAAGAGTGAACAACACGTTCTTTTGATTTCAATAACAATGTCGATGTGTTGCTGAAACAATCTTAAAAATCACAAAGTTAGAAGCTTTTTTCACTCAGCAATCTCAAGCTTGTGACTTTAATTACTTGATGCATTGGCTTATCAAAGTCAGGATTGTGAAATTTGCGGACTTAGTCTCTTGTTCCAAGTGTGTGGAACTATGAACAATGCAGATGAAATTTCTAGATTTTAGTTGTCAATATAACTTTGAATCTCTTTTGCAGGCGTTGGATTTGCAGAGGCAAAAGTTGGGGTTAACAAACCAGAATTGCTACCTAAAGAGTTCACTTCTGTCATAGATGTTGCTGGTTTCCTCTCTAATGGTCAGGTATGCATGAATCAGCATCCATTTTTGGGGTTTAATCTTGTATATCTCATGTGGATCTGTTGCTTATTTTTGTTGATCTTACTGTATTTCTGATCTGATTGTTTTTTTTGTGCTGCTGTTGCTCATTGAGAATTTCAGGAGAAAAGGATTGCTCAAGAAATCGCTAATCTTGAGAAAGATACAGGATTCAAGTTGAGAGTCTTGGCCCAAAACTATCCCGTTACACCCGGTATGATGCATGTTTTGAAAGTAACATACTTGATCTCCATAGGTTTTACTCGATGACATTTCTCTATGTTTGAAACAGGACTAGCAATCAAAGATTTCTGGCAGGTGGATGATAGCACAATTGTGTTTGTCGCTGACCCGACCTTTGGTAACATCTCAAACCTCATTGTTTTAAGTTCTTGAAAATATGTTAGGCCTGATGGGGAACTGATTGTGATTACCGGATATGAAACAGGGAACATATTGAATTTCAATGTTGGGGCTACAGTTGATTTAGACATACCTCGTAGTTTCTGGAGTCGATTGGCTGGGAAATATGGCAACATGTTTTACTGGAAAGAGAAGGTAAGAAGGCTATCTCGATGAAAACCGATGATTGCCACTTTCTTTGTTCATCAATATGTCTAAACTGTTTACATTATGCCTTGAAACCAGGGAGAAGATGCATCCATTGAAGCTGCAGTGATGGCAATATCAAGTTGCTTACGAGAACCAGTTGGTCCAAATAACTGTGCAGAGATCCAATGAAGTATATGACCCCCGTAAAGCATATCTGTTATTAACATTGTATAGATTGTTATCAAAGAGATACAGAATTTGTAAGAATGAATCCACGTCTCGTGACCTCTCTCCATTTCTCAGCTTCACCTCCTTAAACAACCACTGTTTCCTTTTGAGATCTTCAAGGAATGCCAAGTTCAAGCTTCTGAGGATGAACTTGATGGCGGAAGTGGTGTGAGCTAAGAACAGAGTATGATAACAGAGTTTATGAATATGCATTGTGTTTGGTGCTTCTCTAGTTGTTGATTTAAGTGAGAGTAAGGAAGATTGAAGTTGATACTTCCGTAATTTAACATAAGCATCGAGTTTGAATTTTCAATTGAATGGAATTGTGACAGAAAGTGAATTTGAAGACACCAAACTGAACTATGTTTCCTTTAACATGATCACTAGACAGTTTCAATTGGTACTTGTATCTCTTAAAACAAACAAATAGAGAAACCAAAATCAATAAACTGGAATAAGTCAAATTGTAATAGAGAAACCCGACTGATGTTGAGAAAAAAAGTAAGTTGGTCAAAAGAAAACTATAACTTACACATGTTCTGTTTCAACAGAACAATAACAATACATTAATCTCTAAATGAGTTACATTTTGAGACAATAAAATTGATATGTTACATTTAGGTTACTTTTCCATTTATCAGAGAAAATCTTGTTTCCTGATCCTATAAATTCTACCTTTCTTCTTATATCCAAAACCATCCAAACATCTAAACCAAAAAGAAAACAAAACATAAAAAAAGGATTAACAGGAAAGATGGGAAGCAAAACTATTCTCTCAGTCGTTTTGATTGTTTCCCTTTGTGCTGCCATTTTTGTCACTCAAGGAGTAGCTCAAACGCAAACACCGCCAACGGTTCCTGGACTTTTCCCACCTGGCTTACCCATTGATCTTGTAAAATGTTGGTCGTCTCTCTTCAATGTTGAAGGATGTGTGCTCGAAATCTCCAAATCAATTTTCTCCGGAAAATTTGAAAATGTCGAAGCCGCATGTTGCAAGGCGTTTTCGACCTTAGATGCTAACTGTTGGCCACAAATGTTTCCGTTGAATCCGTTCTTCCCTCCTCTCCTCAAGGATAGCTGCGCTCGCCTTGTCCCAACTCCCCCTACACACAACTAAGAACAAGAATGATCGTTGATATACACTTTTAATTTAGTCGTTAGCTTCAAAGTCTAAGTTCTAATGTTAGTTTTTGTTGGCAAAATGTGAACTCATCATATCTTTGGAGAGCTCTATCTATGTAGGTTTTCTCAATAAAGTAATTTTTTTTCCAATATTCATTCAAAATTTTCCTAACTTATAACTCTTATATACACGGCCGTCCAGATACACACATATATGTATCATGTTGAACTAAACCCTATAGTCATGCCGTGTCAGTGAATTAAAGTCAAAACCCTAAATTGTTCTCTGCAAGTTGGAGAAGAAGTATAAGAAACCTGATCAACGGTTATTTCGTCTCGTTGATTCCGTCAATGTCTTCCCCGGAAAAAAAGAGGAAGAGGAAGACAACGACTAAGACGAATAAGAAAAAGCCATCTCCAAATCCATCACTTCCCGATGATTTGCTAATGAGCATCTTCGCACGTGTCTCAAGATTGTACTATCCGACTCTCTCCTTAGTCTCCAAGAGCTTTCGATCTCTCCTAACTTCACCGGAGCTTTATAAGGCTCGGTCACTCTCGGGCCAAAACGAGTGTTGTTGTCTCTACTTGTGTTTACGGTTCAAGCCTTATTCGAATTCCACCTGGTTCACCCTCTGTCGGAAACCTGATCAAACCCTAACCAATGAGACCACTAAGACCAAGTCAAGTGGTTATGTTTTGGCCAAAGTCCCAATTCCTCCTTCTCCTCGTGCACATTTTTCGAGTCTTGTCGCGGTTGGTTCTAATATCTACAACCTTGGAGTTTCCAAATCCATCTACCAACCATCCTCTAGCGTCTCGATTCTGGATTGCCGGACTCACACGTGGCGCGAAGCTCCAAGCTTGCGGGTGGTGCCAATGTCACTTTCTGCTAGCGTACTTGATGAAAAGATATATGTAGCAGGAAGCTACAAAGATGACTATGGCGATTCCGGTTCTTCGAAAAACTTATTCGAGGTGTTTGACACTAAAACACAAATTTGGGATCCTGATCCCATCCCTTGCAGCGAGACTACATGCAACTTTCTTAACTGCAAAACCGCATGTATTGATGGAAAGTTCTATGTGGTGAGTGACGTGATTTACAGAGATGTGTGTGCTTACGAATCCAAGGAAGGTAGATGGGACTTGGTTGGACTTGGATCATATATGGAACATCATTTGTTTTTAGATTCTTGTTGTGATATAGACAACATTTGGTACTTTGTTTTTCAGGGAAGGTTTATATGGTATGATACTAAGGAAATACAGTGGAGACATTTGAAGGGTTTGGTAGGACTACCTAAGTTCCCTCCTAGTGCTCGTATTAGATTGGCTAATTATAGTGGAAAGATAGCGGTTTTTTGGGACGATGTGTTGCCTTGTAATGGCGGCGATAATAAGAAGATGATTTGGTGTGCAGAGATTGCGCTTGAAAAACGCAAAAGTTATGAAATTTGGGGGAAAGTTGAGTGGTTTGATCATGTGCTCACAGTCCCTATAACCTGTGTTTTCGAGAAGGTTCTTGCTGTTACTGTTTGATGAGTGCGTCACAAGGCTTGAACATGTGTTCTCTTGGGTAATTAAATTTGACCAAACAGAATTGCAAATTTGTATTTTTATTATATCTAGTTGTGATTTGACTTGCTATTGTCCCACCATACCACCTTGAATCTGGTTTAGCTACCTTAAATGGTGTTAAGAGTTGAGACTTAAATCAATAAACATTGGAATGAGGTATTTCAAGTTTGTAATCATAAAGAAATCAAACTGACGTTAGGTCAAAAGGAAATTATAACATTAACATCCTCTGTTTCAAAACTTAAACAAGAACACACCATATTTACATTAGTCTACTCAACTTTAATGTAGAGAAAATATAATATATTAAATCTAAACATGAGTTACATTTTGAAACAAAATTGAAGATTGATCTGTTACACTTGGAGTTACTTTTCGATTTATCGAAGAAAATCTTGTTTCCTGATCCTATAAATTCTAAACTTACTTCCTATATCCAAAACCATCTAAACCTAAACCAAAAGAAAACAAAACATAAAAAAGGATTAACAAGCAAGATGGGAAGCAAAGCTGTTGTCTCAAGCTTCTTAATGGTTTCCCTTTGTGTTGCCATTTTTGTCACTCAAGGAGTAGCTCATACGCAAACACCACCAACGGTTCCAGGACTTTTCCCACCTGGCTCACCCATTGATCTTGTAAAATGTTGGTCGTCTCTCTTCAATGTTGAAGGATGTGTGCTCGAGATCGCCAAATCAATTTTCTCTGGAAAATTCGAAAATGTCGAAGCCGCATGTTGTAAGGCGTTTTTGACCTTAGATACCAACTGTTGGCCACAAATGTTTCCGTTGAATCCGTTCTTCCCTCCTCTCCTCAAGGATATCTGCGCTCGCATTGTCCCCAATTCCCCTGCAAGGAATTGAAAGCAAGAATGATTGTTGATCTACACTTTTAAATTAGTCGTTAGCTTCAGAGTAATAATCTTTTTAATGTTAAATTTTTGTTGCTTTATGAGAGCCCTATATAGGTTTTCTCAATAAAGTTGCAATATTCATCCAAAATTTTACTTATTTATAACTCTTATCAATGTGTCTTTGTCATATATATATGAGTAGTATAAACACAAATAATTTTGAGTTCCTTAAAACAGAGAAAAAGATAGGATAGATTAACATAGGAAATTTTATTTAAGAGTACTGTGTTTAAACAAAACTTAAATACAGTACTGTGTTTCTTGTCTTTTGGGTACAAAATTTTCCAAATCAGGCTGGTATGATCATATCACATACGTCTCCAAGCTAAAATTCTCTATAAATCTCTTACTTTTCTCAGTAGGAAGATAATGCAAACCAAGTTCTATTGATTCTTCTTAGTAGTGGGAGTGAACGATGCAGAGCTCTGAGTGAACGATTTAGAGCTCTGAATCTGATCATCTTTAGAAGTTTTGATTATAAACAGAAGTGTTTCCACAAGCATCGCCAAAACTAGTCCAAGAATCCCACCAGCAGCACTCTAAAGGAAAAGAAAAAAAAAACACAAATCCAAACACTCATGATTCACAAAAATCCACTTAACGGTTTCCAGAATTTGACAAAATGAGAGATACACAAAACATACCAGAGCGGGGTTGCGGTTAAATAAAGCTCTAAAAGAAGCGTATCCAACCAAATATCCAGTGAACATGGTAAGACCAACATGTAAACCTATAAAATGAGTTTACAAGAAAATCAAAATCTTCAGTTACCTATGTGTAATACATTTCCAAGAAAAAAGTAACCGAGCGAACATGCTTACCGAAACCGAGCTGGTCTTTGTAAGAGGAGAAAGGCTCCTCGACTTGTTTCTTGGGTGTTATATCTTTAACAAGCTCAGCATATTCCTTCCTCTCTGCTATTTCTCTGAGCTTTAGCAATCTCAATTTCAGTTCTTCGCTCTATCAAGAGAAAATTCAGATCAAATTAAACATGGCGAGACAAGTTTAAACATAGTTAGGGCAAAACTTCAAACAAAGGAGACCAGAAGCATCCTTGAATTACACTCAATAGAACCGCAGAGACGTTTCTTCGATTATGCTCAATTCTTCCAATCAACCAAACAGAATTGTGCATATTGGATTTGAGTATGAATCAAACAAAACTACAATACACAATTTCCATGAATTTCTTTCAACTACCAAAAGACAATCTCTTTTGTTGCTGGATTGTTCGAGCACTATCAGTCTCATCTATATTAATAATCTCCTTCAATGGATACTATTAGCAGCAGAAACAAAATATAATTAGGTCAAATTTCTCCGCATTCTAGATTGAATGAGCCTGATGCGAAATTCCCCAGAAAAGAAAATTTGAAAGAGGATCTGATGAAGAATTTGAGGTTCGTGTACCTTTTCTCTGGGTTTGGGACTGGTGAAGACGAAATCGGAGCCGGAGAAAAGTCCCAACAAATCCGGTCTGGTCGATGGATCGGATCCGGTCCATAGAGCACGGAGCAATTTGTACGGAACGGTGTTCTTCGAGCGAAGATCGGTAGCAATTTCTCTGAGTTCTTCGGAGAGATGACGATCACCGGAGGCGAGGGCGAGAAACGACCGTATCGGTTCAGTGGCGGAGAGAATCAGACCAGCGCCATTTTTCGGGTCGGGTTGATCCATATTTGATCGGGTCCTAACACTTGACGTTGATCAGGCGGGTCGGTTTTCCGCGATGTTTTTAAGCAACGTCCAAACCATATTTTTGGATTAGGTCCTCTACTTTATGACACTCACATATTACACCTGATTCACGCTCGCTCCCATTTTTTTGAATATATGAGTAGAATTAAATAATTTATTAAAGATGTTGCCCTATTTTTTACAAATGCATAAATTTACGTGTGATTTTGTGATACAGACATGATTTTCAAAAGATAGATTTTTAAGGTGTAAGTAATACTGTAATAAATTCAAAAATTACACTGAAAATTTAAACCTGAGAATTAAACAAAGTATTAGTTTTCCAAAAATACATATACTCCATCCGTTTCAGTTTAATTGTCGTTTTAGGATTTAAATTTTGTTTCATAATAGTTATCGTTTTAGGTTTTCAATGCAAATGTTTGGTGAAAATTTCAGTTTTATCCCTACTGTTTTAATGTTTTGGCCAATGAAATTTTTTATAAAATTTATTAATAAAGGGTAAAACAGAAAATTAAATGCTTTTTTTTTTTAATTTGTGTGAAAAACCTTAAACGACAACTAAAACGAAACGGAGGGAGTATTTGGTTAAATAGTGAAACAGTAAAAAATTTTAAAAAATCTAGGGGATAATTTGATTTAAGATTTACGTTCAATTATTTTGTTTCAAATATTAAGTGCAGGGAAGATAGAATCCCTGTTCTAAAAATCTCCGCCTAATCCGATTACTCCGCGCTTAATCGCTAGGCCCACTCTATCCGCCTCGATTAATGACTAATCCCCTAAAGAAATCAGGTATCCGATTACTATCAGCCTAATCCGATTACTCTCCGCCTAATCTTACATATCCCGATTATTTTTAGATTCCAAGTATAAAAAAAAACTTTTTATTCTTGTTATTCAATCATTTAAATTGGGAGTTTGTGATGTTTTACAATAAATTATGTTCAAACTTTAATAAAAATCATAAATTTGTAATAAAAATCATAAAAATTTGTCTCAAAAATATAGTTTTATATGTTTACTGTAATTATGAAAACAATATTAGATTAATATGTTTTAAAAATATTAAAATAACCCCAAAACTAATCTCCGATTAATCCTCGATTTCCTCTTTGAATTTTGGTTCGATCTCCATATAAGAATGATTTCAAATCCAAGTTTATTGTCATACACTTGCATTGCGAAAGGAACCGTAATTCTCGCTGAGTTCGTTTCAAGGCAAGAGCCAGGAATCGAAGCTATAGCTTTAAGATGCATCGAGAACACGCCTCCTCATCATTCAATGTTCTCTCATACAGTTCACAAGAAGACATACACATTCGCAATCGACGATGATTCCTTTGTTTCTTTCGCGATTTCTGATGAAACTATGGAGAAACCTGAATCATTCTGGGTTTTGAATCGTTTGAGATCTGGTTAATGACGGTGGATCTGATGTTGAAACGTTGATTAATCCGGTTTCGCATTGTCTTCAATTGAAGCTTGATCCAATTTTCGCTGAGATTGTTGGTGTTGTTGATTTTGAATTGGATATGGATTTGGTTGGATCACCGAGGAGTGTAGCGAGAGAGAGTCGGAATCCGAGTATTGATTCGTCTAAAGGAAGAAGAGCTGCTTTGATGCCACTTTTGGGGAAGCCATTGAAAGCGTTGAAGAAGAAGAAGAGATTGCATAATGAAGGAAAAGGAGAAGATTCTTGTGAGGTTGGTTCGATTCAGGAGATATCAGAGAAGAATGTTGATGTATGTGGGAATGGTAACAATGGAGTCTTACGCAAGGAACTGAGAAATGGTTTGTTGAGTGATCATCATCATAGACAAAAGGCGAAACAGATATGGAAGAAACATGTTTGGGTTGTGTTGATGTTTGATTTCTGCATCTGTGCTATTCTATTTGGAATCTGGCTTTGGATTTGTGAAGGGTTTCAATGCATTGAAGGGTAAAAAAATGGTATTCATTCATCAGTTTCTCTCTGTGTACATCTCCAAAATTCATATTGTTTCAATCTGCATCAACGTTGATCATTGACATCTTCTGGGTATCCGTTTTTTGGATCGAATCTGATCCCTTTTCTTTCTTTCTCTGTTTTTGTCAAATTCTTTTTAATCTTCATTATTTTTTAAAGTCACAAAAAGTGTTGTTTCCAGGAGGAAACTAGGTATAGGTTGAATCCTGGTTTACATGTTAGTGATATGTTCATTGTACTTTGAAAATCATTCACAAGCAAAATGTGTGTTGTGTATCTCTTTTTTTCTCGTTTATCTTTTGCTGTATAATTCCATAAATGGTGCTGTGATTGAACGTGGGTCACACAGGATGGTTTCAGATCCAGTCACACGTTAATATTGTACTAAATATATACTACATTGCATCTATAGTCGGCGTATTTAATAATAATATTCCAAGGAAAAAACACAAAAGTGAAAGCGATACCAGTAGTTAACTTTTATGCTGTAAATCTGTAATAGTCTTAAGGTTTACAGTAGAAAGATGATTACATTACAGACATCATAAGTGCAAGAAGATGTTTTGGAAATAAGAAACAAAAGAGGGATACAGTGTCAAATATGTGTCTCAGTCTCAATCTCTCAGCCACAAGGTGTGAGTTTCTTGTTACCTGCACCACGAGGATTATCATCCTTCCAATCATCGAAAGCTCTAGCTTTCATTACAGCTTCCTCGTCTTCATCATCATCTTCTTCGTCCTCTTCCTTTCTTCTCAGAGGTTTATCACTGTACCATGAGGTGGTTGCTTCTTCAATGGCTTTTTTCGTCTGCTCTTGCCAATCATTCATTATATTCATCTCTGTTAATCCAGCATCCTCTATGCACATTGTAGGCATCCTGCAAAACAAAAGTTTAATCGCCTTTTTTAATATCAGAAGGGTATAAGATTTGTGATGAGCTTGATTTTGTGTTTACCTGTGACTTGGTTGGAAAACCTGAGCTATCATCCTCTCTCTCTGTGTAGAGAGCGGTCCACCCACGATGCTTGCTGGACCGAATATAAGAGGTTGGTGCTTGTGTTCGTGACCTTCTGATACTGAAGCTCTTCCTTCTAACACATCTTGTGCAAATGTGGCACAAGTGATTGGTTGTGCTGGGTTAGAGTACCGTACCCTCGCAGCAGCGTCTCTGTGCCAGGTTGTTGATGCTCTAATGACATTGAAAAAATTGGAATTTAAAAGTAAAGTACCAAAAGTTTGTCGGTCATCATTTTCCTTGTTGTCTTTGCAAGGCTGATAAAATGAGGAAAATGATAAGATGAGAAACAAACAGAAGTACTGTCGTGATAAAAAAAAAAAACTTAAACTGCAATGACAAAACTAGAAGCATGCAAACTTTAAGGCTATGCCATTCTTCTAACAGCAATAGAGTTAGCAACCATATTTGCCTCTTTAACCAGATACCTAGGTATTCACTAGGCTTTTTCTGATATGTATTTTGTTTTAAAATAATTTTAAGAAGGAAAAGAGACTTACTTCAAGCGAACGGCTATAGAAAGTCCAAAAGGCACTGCCACTACTACTGTAGCAATCTGAAAAATTAATATTTTGGCGACAAGGTTACAAGAAAAGACCATATAATATTACTGTAGCCATGAAGATAAAGTTCAGCATTCCCGTACCCCAAAACTCAGGGATGTGATCACAAATTCTGTTGCTTCATCAGCAGTAGTGATTCCATAAATAAACATTGGAGTTCCATCTGATTTTTTGGTCCAACCACTAAAGTATCTAGAAATAAAAGGGTTGTTAGGTCCAGGATGGAGCTGGAGATCTTAGATCTGACTGCCGAACATAAGCACAATGGGTACTTGTAAAAGAAGATAGACTTACCGGCCTAATCGAACACTACAGGCAACTGAAGCGAACAAAACGAAGGACCAGCTGGCAGAAATCGCAAGCCATTTCAGGTATCCCTAGTAAAACGAATCACATTTGATATATGAACAAACTAATCGCAAGCCAATCATTCATTATATTCATCTATATGCACATTGTTGGCATCCTACAAAACCAAGTTTAATCGCTTTTTAAAATCTCTAAAGGGAATAAAATTTGTGATGAGCTTGATTTTGTGTTTACCTGTGACTTGGTTGGAAAACCTGAGCTATCATCCTCTCTCTCTGTGTAGAGAGCGGTCCACCCACGATGCTTGCTGGACCGAATATAAGAGGTTGGTGCTTGTGTTCGTGACCTTCTGATACCGAAGCTCTTCCTTCTAACACATCTTGTGCAAATGTAGCACAAGTGATTGGTTGTGCTGGGTTAGAGTACCGTACCCTCGCAGCAGCGTCTCTGTGCCAGGTTTCAGCTTTCTTTGTACGATCATCAAGAGCATCCCGAGAAAACCCATCCTCTCCATCCTGATCAAAAGATCATAACAATTTTCTTCGTTTATATGTTTATCAAGTAGTTGTTAGCACGTAAAACTAACACCGAGGTAAGCTACCTTCAACTGTCTTTCCTTTATTGCAGAGAGCATTTCCTCTTATCTCTTTAGCATTTCCAACAGATCAATAGCCTGTAGCGAAGTTCAATCATAAGATAAAGCCTCAACTCGTGACAAATCATAGGATTCCAATAAATGATTTTTAGACAAACCTTACAAACAGCCAAGTTAATTGAGGAGAGCCAGGCCTGCAGAGGGAAAAGTCATAGACAAGGCTTGGAAGAAAATGAAATTAGAGAAAGCAGCAAAACAAAAAAGTGGGACAAACCTCTCTCTCTTCTTCGCTGTCATCATCTGGAATATCATCTTCTCCAGATTCAACCGGAGTCGACAAGGCTGCTGCTTTAGTGGAACGTCCACGTCGCTCCTTCCTCTCTTTAATTTCAAGAAGCTTTGCCTCTGCAGCCTTTTGACGTTTGAACCGAGCTATCTATAAAGTACCGTAATCATGAACATGCAGTTCAAAATCCAAAAACCTTAAACTTCATTCTCATCAGAATATAAACAAAAGAAACAGGCTGAGTCTACCTTCAGAGCCTTTCGATCTGCAGGTGCACCGGAACCTCCTCGTGAAGAAGCCTCCAACTCCTCATCCGGAACAAGCTCCATTGCCTCACAGAACGAAAAGAACTCCTAGACACAATAAGACTATACATCAATCTCAAAAAATCAAACTAAATGCTCATTCACTAGCACTAGCATCAAAATGAAGTAACAACCTGCAAACAACGCAGAAAAAAACGTACCTTCAACTTTGCATACGAGGCTTTGACAATTTGAATCCGGTCTTCCTGTATGATTTTCTCCGTCAGGTCCGCAAGATAGTAAGGCACCTATAATCACAAGAAAATATATCCCTCATCACTTTAAAGATATGTCAACTCAGAACACAAAATCTCTTATGATCCCCACACAGAGTAAGTTCAATTGAAGAGGCCACAATTCAAAATTAGCTAAAACTAGAAGCTAAAGTTTTTCACTTTCTGATCTTCCACACCAAACTAATAACAAAAGTAGAACACAAACTTACTACTAAAAAAATCCAAACAACAGAGACTGAATTGCATAGAAAGTTACCAAAAGATATTTGAGATTGTTGGTGCTAATATCTTCTTTAGTCTCGTTAGACGAAAACAGCGCCAGCTTCCCGATCATATCTTCGCACTTCTGAAACATCTCACATCCTTTCTTCACAACATCCTAACAAACCAAAAACAATAGAACAAAGCATTTCCGGATATGCCCAATTCAGTAAACCTCTCGATCTGAAATACCCATTTCAGATAAACCTTAATCGAATTTGAATACTAAAAAAAAGTTCGAAGCTTCCACCTGATCAACACCGGACTCTGAAGCAGCAAGATGAATTTTCCTTGCTTGCTCAAATAGCGCCGATAAAGGCATTTCCTCCATAGCTAGACCACCCATCACAGACTAATAAGCAATTTCTCAAAAATCCTCAATGAAAACGAGAATGTGTCACCGAAATCGAGTATCTTCGAGAAGAGGATCAGTGAAGTCTTTGAGATTTTTTTAGGGTTCCAAATCGAAATCTGACTAAGGGAATTTACTGAATTTAATAACTGCGATGAGCTTTATAAGATACGGTTGAGATCATGCCACGTCAAGTGAAGATGATAATTGAAAATAAATATAAGCCGTTAGATTTGTAGACAACCTCAAACCGCACGTAACACGAATCTTGACCCATTGGCAACTCATGATTGGTTTTCTAAACTGCAACCGCCGGGAATGTGGTCTGAAACTATGAATTATGAAGAATGTTTGTAGTTTTTAAAATGGATTTTGGTTTTGGTGTTTTTTTGTTAATTTGAATGGAAATGAAATTTTCCTGATTTTTGTATGTGTTACCGCACCAGCTGTATAACCAGTTCGGATTGTCGTAGTGCTATTGATTTGACCCACCTATAGCGGTAAACCTAGGAGGAATGGTTGATTCTGATACATTTCACACTACATATAGCTTGGAGAGGAAATGAATTGACTGAATTAACTGTACTATGATACATACACAGCACAATAATAACCATTATTTAAGCTCCCACGCACATGCACGCGGAGAACAACAGCCTGCTAAGCATCCAACGCTAGAGCAATGCTTCAGAAAGTGACCTGAAATGAGGATTGTATGTTCAGACAAGTTACTTGTTAAATAAATAAGATATTCATGTGTGAATTGATCAGGAGATTACGGAGTGAAAGGTTCTTACAGTAATTGCGCCTATATGGCAAGATACATTTCAGTTACGGTAATATTGGTTGACCGGGTAAGGGTAGCGATTGGCGACTTGGCTGAAAAAGTTTTAAAATATATTATGAAGTGAGAAATGTGAAGAGTAAAAGTTATCTAAAGTAGTTGAGGATCTTTATGAGCAGAACCTGAGCAATCCCAAAAGACTTGTCGTCACCCATTTTTTCAAGTCAAGCCTGGTGGAAGAACTTAAAAAGCCTGCCAACTCTATTACGATTATCTGACATAGAAGGAACAAAAAGAACGTAATTATCGTTTAGGGATATATAAGAACAGAAGGAGAAGGTAAATGTTGTGTTCACCCCTACAGAGGACTTACCTGAGAGATGATAGTTGAGGTTATTGTAACGAGAAACATATTCTCTCTAAGGATTTGTTTGAAGGTTTGGTCTACACTTCGGATTTCAAACTCATTAAAAACCTGCATTATTTCAAAAAGACAGAGAATGATCAACATATTCGCATATCAACGCAAATTAAAAGTTTGGGAAAAATCGGACATTACCAGGCAGAAGACTAAGGAATTGAATACAAATGTGTTCATCACTTTTTCCGCATTGCCGGTATGACCATGCTTCAGCTTCAGTAGCTTCTCAGAATTTATGAGTACCAGCGACAGCACTAGGTAAATTACCTGAAGGTATTTCATGACAGAAGCATTATTAGAGGTCTCCAAGTCGATGTTTTTGTCTTTAATCTAAATAGTTAATCAGTTATTCACCAAGGGATTGTATTTGCTCCTTGAAAACTATGAAGGAGTAAAAGATATTATCGGACATTAACCTCCACATAAAATCAATCAAGAATTTACCCAACATACCTGTATTATCAACTTGGACCACATCGCCTTGGTTATAAGAGGATCTCTGGAAAAAAAAAAAGGGAAAAGAAAGGTATGCATATGTACGATCAGTTTGCGTATATTTACGAAGAACAGATAGTGTGTTTTAACAAGAAGTGCAAAACCAACAGTTTCTTCCAAAACTTCAGCATCAATACAATAATGTCTCTTTCTAAGCAACTATCTTATTAATTAAATCTTATCATTGATCCTATTCAGATTTTGTACCTTATACCAACCGGTGGCTTTCCCATTAAGTGGTGACCAGAACTTGGTCTGTATGCCAACGCTAATGCTCCTAAGATGTCGATAACAAGATTAAGCCACAGAAACTGCATCAGTGAAAAGCAAAACTGGGTTAGGGAAAAGCAAAAACTGGGTTAGGGAAAAGGTTCCCAATCGTGGAAAAGCTGGATTATAAGATGATGAAGTAACAAAGGGATAACATTTAAGAACCTGCACGACGTTAAGTGGAAATGCGTCATAAACTACAACCTCAACCACACAGATAGCCAATGCTGATACACTGACAGTGAGCCGGAATAGGATAGATCTCTGGACATTGGTGTATAGAGATCGAGACCATATGATACACTGCATTATCCAAACAAGCCTCTAATATCTTATCAGAATGATTTAAACGAAATTTAACTGCCAAAAGGTCAACGTTTGCTCATCATTTTTGTATGCATTCTATACGCCGCTACTGCCCAAGTTTGTCATTTCAACCACGCATATAATAAACCAACCTTGACAATCGTAGCAAAATTATCATCTAGTATAATGATATCGGAATTCTCTTTTGCTGCTGCGGTCCCTCCAACTCCCATTGCAAGGCTAACATGAGCCTGTGCAAAGAAAACATGAATCATAGGTTGTAGTGTTGATGGATATGTCTTTCTATGTTTACAATTCATATTCTCTTTGACATAGTGCAATAAGTCTTTAGAGTTTTAATATGATAACTACAGACCTCGCGTAGTGTCTTTGGATCATGTATTCCCATCCCAGTGGCTGCAACTATATGCCCTCTTTTCTTCAGTGCTTGGACAAGCAGAAGGTTGTCGTCGGGAGAAGATTGAGCAAACACCTTCATAGAGTAGTGTGTTAGTTTTTGGCTCAATCTAGTTCTTGAACCAGTCGGCTTATATAGACCTATACAAAATTTATGTCAAAATAGCAATCTGACCAACAAAGTAGTTTCCCATTAACACATTGGTGTACAACAAGTTCACTCAGCAAGGTGTCACAGTGGCACAACTGATACTGAATTCAGTTATCTTATCCCTTGGTTCCACTCATCGATGTATCATGATGTGCACAGATGAATATATATGTTAAACCATAAATATAGAAGAATGGATTCATACTAAGATGTCTCCGGCGATCTGCTCTCTTTGTGGATCGGTTAGTTCACGGAATTGGGCTCCTGTCCTTATATTACGGCCAGATGCATCTGTCAGTATCCCGCATTCAATTGCTATTGCTTGTGCAGTCAAAACGTCATAGTCCATCACCATGCAAACCTGAAAGTCAACATATTCCACTTAGAAAGTAGACCAATAAAAGGGGTTGACCCAAAGAAAAAAATTTGCTTAAACATATTGTCTTCCGCAACAAATATTAAAGGTATCACTGCATATGATAAAGTACCTAATAGTCAGGTTAACAACTCAGAAAATATTACTATGCCAAACTCAGTTACAGATAACAGAAGTTCAGATCGAGTAGAAAATTTCTCTCCACTAATAAAAGTTCAAAAACTTCAAATGTCATGCTCATGCATGAGGAAGAATAGTAATACAGGCAATAACCATGGCACCTTAACACTTCCGGAATTGCACAGTTGGATCGCATCCCTTGTGCCTGGCCGGCAAGGATCCTGCATGTTATTCAAAACATTGGATAAGTAATGATAATGAAAAGAATTCATTGGCTTTGAAGAAAATCGAATCAGATACCAATTCTTATTGATACAAAACTTAAGCTTTAGAATGAGTGCTGGAAATGTACCTTTATACCAATAATAGCCAACAAAACAAGGTTTCGAGGTTCCTTAATGGTTGTTGGAAGACTTTCCAGTTCACAAGGTTGATAAGCAAGTGCTGCACAACGCAATCCTTTGTTGCACATCTCTTCAATTGTTCCTTCAAAAAACTAAAGAGAGAATGGACTCTTATATAATAAACCAAACAAGAAATAAGAGTGTATTTTTTAATTAGTCATATAAATTCATAAACAAACCTTTCGTTTCTCATCATCAATGCCTCTGGGGTTATTGGCCCCATCCATATACCTTTCACATGAACTCAGAATAGTTTTTGCAGATCCTTTCCAATGAGCGTGGGCGTGTGCACCAATCTAGAAATAAATAATAAGAAGTAAAAAAAAAAACTATATAAGAATCAAACATAGCATAAATATGCAGGCAGATTTACAGTCAAACAATTCCGGAATATCTCTGTGTTAAGTGAAAAAATAGATATATATCTATATGTGTGTGTGTGTGCGCGTATATATCTGTTCAACAACAATATAGACAAGGTTACGTTACCTGTAGTGCCACGCCTCCATATTTCTTTTTTGGGCTGAATGGTATAGTATGACGGACTAATGATGCTGACCTAGCATGATTGAATTTCATTCCCAACTACAAAATCGCATAACTAAGTGTCATTAATTATAAACTTAATCACTATAGCAAGTAGTAACGTAAAATTAGAAAGAAACAAAACCTTATTCCCAAAGCTAAGAATAGCTTGTTCTGTTGGTGATCCATAAAGCTCTGGTTCAGTGACTCCCTATAATTAATTATGAACATACGAAGAAGAATTCATATTAAAATAATCATACTACAGGAATCTAACCAAGTCAACAGTGTGATCCAGGACACAATTACCGTTTCAAAAACAACACTGCCATTTGTGTTTTGGGCAATGCCTTCTATGATTAGTTCTTTAAGAAACGGGGGCAACTGTGAAACATTATCCATATCTTGCATTCTCATTCCTCCAGCCCAGACATCAACCACAGACATCTGCTTAGCAGAAAATAAATGCTTAAAAAGTGGGTACTCAAGAAGAATAAGAGGAAGCAGGAAAGAGCAAATTGCATATAAAAGGAAACATTTGCCTGATTCAAAGTTAAAATTCCAGTTTGATGACACAATATAGTTGTAACAGATCCCATTCTTTCAAATGCAGAGAGTGATTGCACCTGAAAAACATGTACAGAAGTTAAGCACTTGTTGATGCTCTAATGACATTGAAAAAATTGGAATCTAAAAGTAGAGTACCAAAAGTTTGTCGGTCATCATTTTCCTCGTTGTCTTTGCAAGGCTGATAGAATGAGGAAAATAATAAGATAAGAAACAAACAGAAACAATTGTCGTGACAAAAAAAAAACTTAAACTGCAATGACAAAACTAGAAGCATGCATTCTTTAAGGTTATGCTATTCTTCGAACAGCAATAGAGTTTGCAACCATATTTGCCACTTTTACCAGATACCTAGGTATTCACTATGCTTTTTCTGATATGTATTATGTTTGAACAAATTTTCAAAAGTAAAAGAGACTTACTTCAAGCGAACGGCTATAGAAAGTCCAAAAGGCACTGCCACTACTATCGTAGCAATCTGGAAAATTAATATTTTGGCGACAAGGTTACAAGAAAAGACCATATAATATTACTGTAGCCATGAAGATAAAGTTCAGCATTCCCGTACCCCAAAACTCAGGGATGTGATCACAAATTCTGTTGCTTCATCAGCAGTAGTGATTCCATAAATAAACATTGGAGTTCCATCTGATTTTTTGGTCCAACCACTAAAGTATCTAGAAATAAAAGGATTGTTAGGTCCAGGATGGAGCTGGAGATCTTAGATCTGACTGCCGAACATAAGCACAATGGGTACTTGTAAAAGAAGATAGACTTACCGGCCTAATCGAACACTACAGGCAACTGAAGCGAACAAAACGAAGGACCAGCTGGCAGAAATCGCAAGCCATTTCAGGTATCCCTAGTAAAACGAATCACATTTGATATATGAACAAACTATCATAGGTAGCAAGGAATTAGTAGTCAATAAAACAGACCTGAAAAGGCTTTTCTTCGTCTGTCTCTTGTGGAATCTCCATCTTAAACCCCCATGCAGTGTTCATTCCAACACTTGTAACCTTTAAAACACGGGGAGAGAATAAAGTGAATTAGAAGATCATGAACCATGTACAGAGAAAGCAAGCTCCAAAGCCAGTCTTCTAATTGATAAAGAAGAATTTTTCACAAGAAATATTGACCGCGCAAGTGTCAAACTGAAGAGTAAAATTGGCGTAATAATCAGAAACTTGCATACACAAACCATAAGAATTTGCAAGTTGCAGAAACACGGAAAAGCTTCCAACAGCATAGGCCTCATCTTTAATAAAAGTAGCTATAATATCATCTATGAGATGGATGTGTCAAGCATAAAACAAAATTAAGAGACGTGGCTCGAGAGCTTACCAGCATTGTACCTATGCCATCTATCAGTTTTGAGCCAGATAACAGGAACGGATTTCTTTGGAGATCTTTTTGAACCTGCTAATTGGAAAGAGAAATTAGAAATACAGGGGAAGTAATGATACAGCTCATCAACAGGGGAACAGCATACATATTCGTCTGAGCCAGTTATTTCTTGCTCGTCAACTATCAATGAGTTTGCAACAAACAGGACACCATCTGCAGGTACCTACAGCATTGACCAAACTTGACACCAGTTGAGCTCAAGATATATAAACCAAACAATGATTACTATTAAAAGTGTGATGCTTACCTGACCACCGTTCTTGAGGGGTACAATATCGCCCACAACAATATCATAATTAGAAACCAAGAATCTTCTGCCACTTCTAATAACCTGCAACCAAAAACGTTCAGCACACATTGTGGGCAAGGGTAACACCATACACAAATGACGAAGACAAGCATCTGCAGGAACACACCTCTAGGTGTACGTTTCTCTTCTCCTTTCTCAAGATTTCAAACTGACGAGACTGCTTGTACTCGATGATAGCTGCAAAATGGGTGACAAACAATATAAATCTGGCTGATTCCATATTCTCTCGTCTGAAGACAAGTTTAAAGTTGGCTAAGCAACTCAAGAATATCAAAGACTGTACAACGATACCTCTCACAATGATGTAAAGAAGAATGGCCAAAATGATGCAAGCTTCTACGTACCATCCATCGAAGATACCCTGCAAATGTCATGAGCGTGAGATATAGAAAATAAGTTCAGACAGAAAACTTGAGAAGAGAGCCACATAATATAAAAAATAAACAAAAACCAAAGCAGCTGTGTTGATTTGGGAGAGAAGAGACCAATGAGACAGAATTGCATAAGTAGATGAATTCCAATTACAGTCAGAGCGAGCAGAAAATGTTAATGTCAAAGATGATTACCAAAAAAAAACTCACCTTTGTGTTAACTCGCAGCAGTGAAAGAATTACTTGAGCAAGGAAGATAACCAGGAAATGAGAAAGCTTGCAAGCTCTCCAGAGAAAGCACTACAACAACCAATAGAACAAAAAACTGAAACGCATTCAAACAGATAATTTGTAACTTAAGTAAAAACCAAAACTTTGTTAATCTAATTTGATCATACCCAGAATCTCTTTCCCTTTCTGGAAGGGTATGTATTAGACCCAAAAGTGTTCCTGCGATGCTGTATCTCATCCACACAAGGATCTATGCCCGATTTTAGATCAGTCTTGAGCAGAGTTGTTAACCCATGAACCTATGAATCATCAAAATGGTAAATCAGAGGAACGAATTCATTGAATCAAAAGATGAAGTGATTAATCACAAGTGTGCTTGCCCCATTATATCGATTCAAAGCTTCAAGGCTACCACCATCTTTGACAAGTTGAACGAGTTCGTCCAATCCAATCCCAAATCCGCCAGAAGTTGAAGGTTCTGTGCAAAAGGCCTAGACATTAGATTTTTCGGTTTAGTTCGGTTTTGGTTTCCGGTTTAATAAAATAGATTCTATAGTCCGGTTAGACGAAGAAAACAAGGAAATATAGATAGGTTCACAAGTAGTACCGTTTGCTGATTGCTCTGCTTCTTGGTCGTCATCATCATGTTGTACAAGCTTATTACAAATTATTGAATTAAGAAGATCAAGATTAGAGAAAGAAACCAGATCTTATATCTACTAAACTGAGAGAGATAATTTACGCTTACTGATTGGTCATCAGATGTTGTGTTCCTCCTCAACATATCGCTTATCACTCGATAAAACGCCAACGCGCGAGATACTCTCTTCAACGTACCCTGCAGCAAGATTTAAAAATTAGGTACGGTTCACCATAAGTAATGACCAATGGTACTGAATCAAACAAGATAAACAGATTTATTCATCGTGCAAGTAATAAACATATACTCTTAAAACCAAAAAAAAAAAAAAAAGGTTCAAGAATCAAACGACGAGATAAAAGGATTCATTCAGCGTGCAAGTAAGAAACGTTTACTTACCCTCCTCCACGAGCTCGGGAGATCAGTAGTAACAAGACCGGCTTCCAAATCGCCTGACTCAGCTTCAGGGACAGAGCCACCACCAAGATCTTCAGGAAGGTGTGGAACGGCAACATCATCATTTGAGTAGCCGCCGGCGGCGGCGAGACCAACCTCTATATCTCCCGGACCTCCTTTGGGATTGGATGGCCTCTTCCAAAACCTGAACATTGACAACTCAAATACTACCATTGAAAACGTACTCTGTTTCGATATGGTTATTGTGTGCGGGACTAGACTGATCTACGGATAATGCGGATCAAAGGAAAGAAATCAAAAACTTTTGAGAGACAACCATGTTTTTTTTCCGGGGATATTAGAAACGATGTTTTTTGGTGTGTGAAGAGAATGTAAAGGGAAGAGATGAGTAATTTATAGAAAGAAAGGTGGGTGTCGATGGATTAAAGCAAAAACTGACGGTAAATCTACACCGTACGATTAGGTGAAGTCGACGGATAAAAATTAGTTGAATAAAATAAAAGGATATTTTCATTTCTGACTTCGACGGCACTCTCTTGTTCTGGAAGGATATAAGGTTTGTGAAGACTGAAGAGTAAACTATTCGAGAAAAAAAAAAAAAGAGTAAACTATTCGACGTTACTATTTGATGAAGAGTAAACTTTATGATGAATGATGAATGATGAATGAGATAAAAAGAAACCAGGTCTTATATAAGATCAAGATTAGTGTAGTGTATCGCATAACAATAGCTCGACTGGTTAAAACGTCTCCACCAATGCCCAAAGTTCAAGTCTTTTTCTAATTTTTCCTAACTTTTGTTTTCCTTATGAAAAAATTTCCGTAATTGTTTCTTTTATCTTTTATAAACTTCATAATTTTCTTCAGATGTTTTATCCTCGCTATTGGTTTTGATTCATTTCTAAATCTTCTGTTCAGATTTTTTTTCTTTTTAATTACATGTATCTTTGATACATTGTTTTAGGGGAGAATTGAAAATAAAGGAGGATTATATGATGATTTATCCATATATGCATTCTAAATTTTAGATTGTTGACATATGCTTTCTCAAAATTAAAATCTTATTTTATCCTTAATGTTTAAAAAAAAAAAATATTCCTTAAATAATTTGATTTGTAATTTAATTTGTTTCCCTAATCTTTTTTTTTAACACTGAATTTGTAATTTAATTTTTTTTTTATCATAGTAATTGTGATTGACTTAATATGCATGTTAATTTCGTGTAGCTACACCATCTCGATTTACGAAATTGCTTGATGAGTCAATACAAAACTGGGGTCGAGAATCGCCACCGCTAAAAATCTACAGGTCGAAAATAAATGTGAAACAAATATGATTAAGTATTAAAAATTCTTAAATAAACAGAATACAAATTCTAAAATTCGCAGACGTAATCTAAACCAAAATATTCATTATGTTTAATTTCCAATTTTATTTCCTTAATTTTCTTAATTTTTTCGTTTTTTTAAAAAAGAAATTCTAGATTACACCGAAGTTATGTTCCAATTTACGTAGAATATAAGCAAAAACATAAGAATGTGTTTTCTAATTTTTTTAGACGAAGAGTATATATTAGACAAAATATTCTAATTTTCGTAGAACATAGAGTAAATTATAGAATACGTATTCTAGATTTTATAGAAATTGCGATTCTAATTTTTTCAGAACATAATCCATTTCTAACTTTTCTAGAACATGAATAGTGTATAGAACACATAATCTAAATTTCATATAACATGTTCATTGTATTGAATACGTAGTCTAAACTTCAGAAGACGTATTCTAACCATTTTAGATCGATTTTTATCAATAAAAAATGATCACAAAAACCACATATTATCCATATTATATGCTTTCTAATAAATATTTCATCATTATTCACAATTTTTCTTTGAAAAAATTATTTAAAATTAATAAAAAGGGTAGTTTAGGAATAATTAATTTTCAATTTTAGAATGCATATATGGACAAATGTTCATATAATCCTCCTTTATTTTCAATTCTCCCTTGTTTTAGCAATGCGTGTATAGTCTGGTCTGCTTTGAAAACATTTAAAATCAAATGCTATACTCTAAACATTTCTAATACTTTATGCGACCAAATGATGTTCTGAACTTCTGATATGTGAAAAACGGCTATGGTTACTATATTGTACTATGTATGGTAAAAACAATAAGAAGAACATTCCCGAACGAAAGTATAAGATGAGTGTACCAAGTAAAGATACAAATTGAATCACAAGAATATTCGTTTCCTTCCTACGCGTATTTTTCTTGGGAGGTTAAAAGAATATGAAAAGAAATGACCTGGATTTTGTCCCTTTCTAAATGGATATATCTATCTATTATATTTTATGTAGTTATTCCAATTCGATGGTTATACTTATATGCATTTGGACTATAAAATAAAACAAATGTATTAACAGTAGTTTCGATAAACTGGATAATAGTGTATGTATTGTAATATATATATATATATATATATATAATATTTCCTTTCGTAATTTTTATTAAAAAAAAAAACTAATAGACTAAACTAAAACTGGTACATTTCGAAACAAAATAGACTTTTTTTTTTTTTTTGTCAAACTATAATTAAACATTCGAGTAAGACAGTATTGGAAAAATATGTTTCTTCAATAAAAAAGAAAGAAAGTGAAGGAAAAACATGTGGAGAGGCCCAACGGGCAACGGTCTGCTGTTTTCTTCGGTTCGTGCTGCCACCACCTCTCTTTCTTTGACTCGACTTTCTTCCCTCTCGTCGCTTTTCCTTATCATTTGGATTCACTAATAGTATTGGTAGATCATTAACAATTATATTTCTCTAGTCGACACTAAATTTATAATAATGATATAACTCACAAATGACTCATAAACACATTCGCAACTCAACACGTCTTCATCTTCCAAATACTTGTCAAGTTGTCGTCACCACAGAATCTACTGATTTCTCTTTTTCTTGTGCCCACCAACTGGCCAAAGCGTGGGGTGTGATTGGTAAAGTAATAGAATAATAAAGATATAAATAGTAGTACTATTTGTTTAAAATCCCCAACATTGCAACCGCCTCAACTTTCTCTTTTTCTTTTTAATTTGTTGTTAAATCAGAAAATGAGACTTTTAAGGAAATGAACAAGACAGAGAAAACCATTATTTTATCATAATAATAAAAAATATCACAAAAGTCACGCTAATAACTACTCAAGAGAGTAGTGTATATGTTTATTTAGAGGGAAAAGAACACGAACTTTTATATATATGCTTGAAGAGATACAAGAACATTACTATAGTTCAATGTAAGCAATTGTATTCAGGTCCTCTTTCCTCCATTAAGGTACATTTTAATGGTTAGGTACATTTCCAATTTTTTTTTATAACAAAAATACAATTAATTACTATTATTATCCCATAATAGTCTATCATCATTTATGAAGTGATAAGCGTAAATGATTTTTTTAAGTCAATTAGATTTTGTATTTATTAGTTATCCTATAACAAATTATAGCGTATTTATATATCTGTGACTATATCCAGTTATCCACTTTGGTCCACCTACTTCAGTTTTGTTTGACAGATATATATAAATAAATAGATATTTCATTACTATGATGACAAAGCATGGGTCTACCATTGGTCCGTCTACCAATGCTTTTATTTATTTTATTGAAATTAAGACTTTTTGAACCATGTTACTCACTCTGTTTTGAATTTGTTAGGTGCACATAAAAGGGAATCTATAGGCGGTAACCACAGATGAGTTGGAAATTAACTGACAGGATTTTGTACTATTTGGCCATCGACTGTAGCCAAAAAATGACCAATAAACCCCTATTTTTCTATGATCTAATAAAAGAGATATATGCAGGAAAAGTAGCTGTGTGTCAGAACAAAGATATCATATCTCTCCAAAGATTTGATTTTCGATACTTCTTTAAGAATAAGATTTGTATTGTATTAATCATGAGAACGGTGAGAAATCGAAGGATCGTGTTTTTTGGGCTCTATATCAACTGCTTTTTATTTTTTTTCTCAGTGTTTTCAATTTTCATCTATCTCCGAATTTTTTTTTTTTTTCTCCGATATTCATATCGATTCTTCGATCGAGTTGCTGCTCGTTTACGATTAGTTCGTCAAAGTAAGTATCTCAATTAAACTTTATTTTTGTTTAATGTTTTCGGATCTATGTCGTATTTTTGTTCTTAGATTGTTTTTATTTCTGGGTTTTATAGATGGGAGATACCTTCATCATTGTCTAATCGGTGGTGGTGGAGAAAGGGCCACTGTGTACTACAAGATGAAAATTTTTAGAGGCATCATCGACTCGTTGGAAGAAGAACGAAATTCAGTTAATCAGAGATTCATCGCTTGGTCCGCCAGTGATCTTTTCAATTACGATAAATCTTCCAATGATCTTCCCCACTAACTGTTTCCTTCAACCTTGTCTACCCCGCTATCTCCTATGATAATGTTTATTATTTTTGTTACCTTTTTCTATTTCATAGATTCTTAAAGCTTTTTAAGGTTCGCTTATTTTAATGGAAAGACGCTTGTTATCGTCTATTTTGTTTGTTACCCTACTAGTTAAACTTTACATTTGTAACATTTTATATTACTGATTCACCGCTTCTTATTTGTTGCATTACTTACCTTCTTTATTGGTCTTGCATTTCGATATTGTGTTCCTATTTTTGGATAACGTAGTTAACCATTGTCAAATTTGTTGTTAGCCGTTGATGTTGTTACCCGCTACGTTCTTAATTATCTATCAGTATCTGACTTCATTGTGTGGCTGAACACACATTTCGTAATGGCTACAAGGTTTTACATATGTGTTAACGGCTAATGGGTTTATTACCTTAATGATATAACATTTCCTAAGTGAATTTGATCTGCCTTTTCTTAACCCGATAACGTATTTACCCGTAACTTATTTAGAAGTCCTTTATTCATTTTATTAGAAAAACGCTTGTTATCGTCTACTTTGTTTGTTACCCTAGTAATTATACTTTACATTTGAATATAACTGCGCACGGCTATTAGGTTTTACATATGTGTTAACGTCTAATGGGTTTATTACCTTAGTGTTATAACTCTTGATAAGTGAATGTGATCTGCCTTTTTCCAAGCCGATAACGTATTTATCCGTTATATTAGTTAGCCGATAACTTATTTAGCGATCGTACCTGTGATAATGTTTATTATTTTTGTTATATTTTTCTATTTCATAGATTCTTAAAGCTTTTTAAGGCTCACTCATTTTAATGGAAAGACGCTTGTTATCGTCTACTTTGTTTGTTACTCTACTAGTTATACTTTACATTTGTCACATTTTATATTACTGATTCACCGCTTCTTATTTGTTGCATTACTTACCTTCTTTATTGGTCCTGCGTTTCGATATTGTGTTCCTATTTTTGGATAACGTAGTTAACCATTGTCAAATTTGTTGTTAGCCGTTAATGTTGTTACCCGATATATTCTTAATTATCTATTAGTATCTGACTTCATTGTTTGGTTTTATAATTCATTGTTTTCGTCTTGAAAGATCTCAAGTTAGCTTTTAGAGATTGTGTGAGACGTAGGGTTATTTTCGTCATAATTCCGTGTGTCAGAAAATAGAGAATTAATAACGTTATTTTGGTTCCCAGATCTTGTAATATCTCTTCTTCTATGGATTAATATTTTGTTCACCCCACATAAAACAAGAGTAACAAATGTAGTTCACAGTGATTTTAAGCTTAAAATCGTGTAAACGTGTAAATTTATTTGATCAGATTTATCATTTTACAAGTTTGAAGCAATTCACAAGTTCAAATGATTATAACAACATGTATTTTTCACGAATTTCGGCACATTTGTACGATGTAACCAAATGCCAAGATATGATGGAACTTTCCATATTGCTCTGGTATTTTCTTACATACTTATTTTTTTTTTTAACTAGAGAAGGGTATCATAAAGAAAAACACAGATTCCAATAAAACCATGGAGAGAGTGAGCAACAAAAGAAAAAAAAAAATGAAAATCCTAACAAATCAACCAAACAATCCTAAAATTCCACTTAAATCACTCAAAATCTAAATCCCATCAAATCTTTTAAAATCATGTTGATTATGTGACCAACCAGGTCACAAAGTACAATATTATATATAAAGATACATAGTGATTAGTGCTTGAGGTAAATTGTATTAACTATTTAAATTTTTAAAGTATTTGGTACTTCTCGACTTCTGAATTGAGTCATGCGTTTGTATGGGTGGAAAAGAAAAGTTGAGAATGATGTGAATCAGTACCATAAAATTTATGTTGTGGGAATTTGGTAGAGGTCCCAAACTCAAAAGATTTACATAGTGGTTGATCATTGATTATATATATAACCCGAGACCTTACAATGAACGTCCTTTTTACAGACACCACTCACAGTTAGATAAGGCTATTAGATTTGGACGTAGCTAGCGTGGACAAAAAAACCCAAATCTCTCTATATTCTTTCACCGATAAGCCTTTAAGCCATTTCAACTTTCCTTCTGTAAATAATGCATCATAGATTTGGTTAGCTTTCTATACAACTTGATCCAATAATGTATATGATTGAACGACAGTAAATTATACATCTGAATGAGATTAATGAGTTTTGAGTTTGATTATAGTATCAAAGGTCTTGGTACTAGGATTCAAATCCAAGATTAATGATTTTTATTTTTACTTGTAAAATCGACAAAAATTTTGAGTTGACATTTATTTTCGTTTGGGCCGAGACTATATGATTAATGGGCCCATAGATAAGTTTCGTCTAAAAACGGCGTCGTAGTCGGAAAAGATTAGACCCTCGGACTGACCTAGATGGATCAGAAGTTCTTTAACCGTTTCGTTAAGGGAACGAAGAAGCCGAAAACTTTCTCTGCGCTCTTCTTCTTCTTCTTCTTCTTCCCCAAAAAAAAACCCTAATTTCTAGATCCATCTCTAAGAAACTCTCGTCGTTCCTCTTAAACATGGCTTCGAAGCTCCCGTTGCAAAACATCGACAACGCCAATGTTGCGAAGGCTCCGGCATCATCGCTAGCTTCCGCTGGGAATACAATTGAGCATATCCTACTTTGTCCTGATTCTTATATAGGATCGATTGAGAAACATACCCAAACGCTTTGGGTTTATGAGAAGGAAGAGATGGTTTGTCGTTCTGTTACTTATGTTCCTGGATTGTATAAGATCTTTGATGAGATCCTTGTGAATGCTGCTGATAATAAACGGAGAGATCCGTCTATGGATTCTGTCAAAGTTGTGATCGATGTTGAGAAGAATCAGATTAGTGTGTGTAACAGTGGTGATGGAGTTCCTCTTGAAGAAGGTGTTTATGTGCCTGGGATTTTTTTTGGTCCTTGGTTGAGTAGGAATTACAATCATCCTATATCCAGAGCAAATCATTTGAGACAGAAAATCGGTATGGTCACATATCTACCACACATATTTAATCACATAAACGTTAATTTATTCGTTTGTGATTGTATATCGTGTAGGTCTAGGATTCGGATGGAATACCCTTATTTTATGTATTTTCGTTTAGGTATTTAATTTTTTACATAATTAGTTGAAGTTATCCATATTTTCTTTATTTTCTCAATATTTCACTATGTTTTAGAAAATACCCAAATTTCCCAAAATTTCCATCACGAAATAAACTTTACCCGTCCCAAAATATTTTATTTGGCACATGATATGCTAGATAAATTGAAAGAAACATTTTTAATATATGGTTGCAAGCAATGTATTTTAATTGTAATATGTTATACAACATTTTTTAGGAATTCTCATCCCATCCCGTTCAAAAAGTCAGTTTCAATATTTAGGATTAACACACTATTATAATCTTAACAATATGTTTGCGAATCAAAATATTAAATATAGATTCGAGTTATATGCTTGATTTTTTTTTTTTTTTTTTTTATCTATAATTAGAGTTTTATTTGGCAAGTATAATAACTGTTGTGATATGATTTCGTAAACTAATTTAAGATTTGATTTAATCGTAAACAGTTCTATTTTCTATTTTTATTATTTCGAATATATTATTATCAATTGTTATGGAAACAGCTTATTAAATCATAACAGTAAATTTAGTTTGTTTGATTTTTGGATAGAAAAGACAGAAAAATCTTTTTGAATATATATTGTTAATGCTCCAACGAAATAAATAAATATACTTTTTGAATATATATTTTTGACCAAAAGAAAAATGCTCAACAAAATAATATATATATATATATATATATATAATTTTTAAAGTTTGTTAGTTTTGAGTGATTCCCAGTTAATAATATAGATTTTTTAAATTTTAAAGAATCATTTAAAGTTTTTGATTATTAAATTATTATTTCCTATGTTCTAAACATGTTCTACCAATAATCACTAACTTTACAAAAGTTTTTATTTAAAGATTTTACAATTTTTTAATAATTATTTTTCCCTAAGAACTATCTCTGAAGATTAACCCATGCATATGCCCTAAGGGAACGAAGAAGCCGAAAACTTTCTCTGCGCTCTCTTCTTTTTCTTCTTCCCCAAAAAAAAAACCCTAATTTCTAGATCCATCTCTAAGAAACTCGCGTCGTTCGTCTTAACCATGGCTTCGAAGCTCCCGTTGCAAAACATCGACAACGCCAATGTTGCGAAGGCTCCGGCATCATCGCTAGCTTCCGCTGGGAAGACGATTGAGCATATCCTACTTTGTCCTGATTCTTACATAGGATCGGTTGATAAACATACCCAAACGCTTTGGGTATGATGGATTGAGTTATCTTTAAAATATCTGTGCTTTGCTTATTATATATGCATGTTCTGATGTCCCTGTTTTCCCATTCAGCCTGGCACTCATATTTTTCCATCGATGGTTGATGACCTCACGCTTGAATACTATGAGAAGAAAAAGGTTAGTTTTTTTTTTTGAGGTTTTACTTATTAAGGCAATGATCTAACATTAACTGTGTTGTGATGTGTACAGGAAACTATGCTGAAGAATCTGGAACTTGAGCTGCTGAAACTAGAGAAAGCTGATGATCAGAAGTTGAGAGAAAAATGGTTCACAGAAATCCTGGAAAATGCCAAGCCTGTCGAAGCAGCAGTTGCTGGAGCAACTAATGCAGCTGAAAAAAGCTCATACTATAATTACCTATTGCAATTGTCTGTTTTGATTACAGATACAGTACAAGAAGTAAGGGCACAGAGAGATCAAATGATGGATGCAGTTGAAGACTTGAAAAACGCCACACCGGAATCCCTCTGCCTCAAAGAACTAGAGGTAAGGATGCACAATGCTAAGCCTTATTTATAACGCTTCACATTAGGAAATTACCACATTTTGTCATTGATACATCTTTTCCTCTTATCGCAGGAACTTGATAAGCAAGATGCTCAACCCGATGAAGAGAGACAGGCGCCAAAGAAACCGGCACCAAAGAAAGCCAGTGAATCTGTAACAAAAGAGGCTTCAAATTCAGCAATGGACACAGGTTAGTCTTGTGCTCAAATTGTTTTTCATTGTGTTGTTTTTCTAGGTTTGATCTAATATAACAGTAAGCTGTTAATAACAATCACATTTTTGACATAGAAACATTGATCAAACAGAACTGCTTGCATTGCATGTAATGCCTGTCCTGAAGTTTAGCCTTTTCTTTTTCTGTGTCAACAGAAACAACTGAAACAGCGAAAGAAATTTCTCTGGATGACGATGATGACGACGTGGTAGTGTCCCCGGAGAAGAAAGTGAGGAAGCTGAGATCGTCTCCGTTTAACAAGAAGAGTAGTTCAGTGATGAGCAGGTTGGCTAATAAGGAAGAGGAGAGCAGCGAGAATGCAGCTGGAAACTCATCGTCAGAGAAATCTGGAGATGTTTTTGCGAATAGGGGGTATGTGTGGTGGAGTGATTCGGAGAGTGAATCTGGGAATGAGTCTGAGTTTGATGACATTGAAGACGATGAAGATGATGAGTAGAGTTAGAGAGAACTAACTCGGTTGTTGATAATGATTCAACTTAATTTCAAACTTTAGTTTCTCCCTCTCGTCTTCTTTAGAGTTTGGTGTTATTATTCTGATGAAAGACTTATTTTCTCTAAGGATTGGCACAAAACTCTGTTTTCTCTATTGATTATGCATTTAGTTTCATTAATCATTTTCTTCTCTTTGGTTGGTCACAGTTGGTCTCATTAATCATATGGATCTTTTGGTTTTAGCATAAATAAGCGAGATTGTGTATGATGGCACAATCTAATTTTGGTCATATTTTTTCAAGTCAGTTAGCTTTAAAAGTAATTTGGGGATTATTTCTATGATTCGTTAACGTATGTAATGTATGTATGTTTAACCACAAAAATGGGTTTATTATCTATCTTAGGTTGGCTAACTTCGTAACATCTTACATCAAAATTCAATAACCACACTGATTCGATAATTACCTTAAGTCCATGTATGGAGAACAAGGTTCAAATTGAAGTGACTCCTAATAGATTAACACGAATAAAGAGGCCTCACGGAGATGAATTGACACAAACCATTCTTTTAGAGGTCACAAAACATCAAGACTATTCTAGTTTTATTGGCCTTTCGGTTTATGAAATATAACACAAGTCCAATTTTATTTAAACAAAACTTAAATTCTGTGTTTCTTCTCATATGAGTACAAAAATTTCTCAAATCAGGTTAGTATGATCATATCACATACGTCTCCAAGCTAAATTCTCTACAAATCTCTTTCGTTTCTCAGTAGGAAGGGAACACAAACCAAGTTCTATTGATTCTTCTTAGTAGTGGGAGTGAACGACGGAGTAAACGATTTAGAGCTCTGGATCTGATCATCTTTCGACGTTTTGATTATAAACAGAAGTGTTTCCACAAGCATCGCCAAAACTAGTCCAAGAATCCCACCAGCAGCACTCTGAAAGGAGAAAACGAAACAAATCCGAAACAGCCATGATTTAAAAGTCCCCTTAACGGTAGTGGGTTTCTTAAGAAAAATGACAAAATGAGAGATACACAAAGCATACCAGAGCGGGGTTGCGGTTGAATAAAGCTCTGAAAGAAGCGTATCCAACCAAATATCCAGTGAACATGGTAAGACCCACGTGTAAACCTATAAAATGAGAGTGAAAGAGAACAAAAACCTTCAGTGACCTGTGTGTAAAACTGTAATCCGGGAACCGAACGAAAATGCTTACCAAAACCGAGCTGGTCTTTGTAAGAGGAGAATGGCTCTTCGACTTGTTTCTTGGGTGTTATATCTTTAACAAGCTCAGCATACTCCTTCCTCTCTGCTATTTCTTTCAGCTTCAGTAATCTCATTTTCAGTTCTTCGCTCTACCAAGAGAGAAATCAGATCAAATTACAACATAAACTCACATTGAAATGGCCAAACGCGAAAAGGCTTAAACATAGTTGGGAAAAAAACTTCAAACAAGGAAACAAGAAGCATCCTTTCTTCGATAAAGCTCAAATATCCCAATCAACCAAACAGAATTCTGCAAATTTGTATCAAACAAAAACCACGAAACACAAATGTGATCACTTTTGAGATTACAGGATTAGAAGAAATCTTGCATGAATTCCTCTAAATTACCAAAAGACAATAACTTTTGTTGCTGGATTCTTCGGGCACGATCAGTATCATCTAATATAATCTCATTCAATTTACAGCAAATCACGGAGCATGAACAGAATCTAATCTACAATAGAGAATCCAAGAGCTCACAACAAATAAACACGAGTAAGGATACGAAAATCCCCAGAAAGATTGTAAATTGAATGAGGATTTAATGTGAATCGCGGTTCGTGTACCTTTTCTCTTGGTTTGGGACTGGTGAAGACGAAATCGGAGCCGGAGAAAAGTCCCAATAAACCGGGTCTCGTCAACGGATCGGATCCGGTCCATATAGCGCGGAGCAATTTGTAGGAAACGGTGTTCTTCGAGCTAAGATCGGAAGCAATTCCTCTGAGTTCCTCGGAGAGACGAAGATCACCGGACGCGATGGCGAGAAACGACCGCATCGGTTCAGTGACGGAGAGAATCAGACCAGCGCCATTTTTCGGGTCGGGTTGATCCATCTTTAATCGGGTCCAAACAGTGACGTTGTTCAAAGACAGAGGTCGACGTCCAAAAAATATATCCGGATTAGGTCCCTGTGGTTTACAATTATCAAACAAATGTCCTATAGTTTATTTTATTGCAATTAAACCTGATTCACGCTCCCTTCCAATTTTTGTTGCGATGTAATCTGCTACGTGGCGTAACCCTAGCACGTGTGACTTACTCGAATCACGGATTACGTGTGACTTACTCGAATCACGGATTAATGTGGGGGTATTATTGTAAATATGAAAACTTACAATGGTGGTTTCAGGAAAAGTGAGTCGGTAAAAATATTATATTGGGTCTTTTTCGTTTCGTCTTCTCCAATAATGGATCTCCTCCTCCTTCTCCTCTCCATTTCTGTTATTTTCCCTAGAAAAATCCGCAAACCCTAGAGAGAGAGAGAAATCAAAATCTCCATTCTGGATTGGGCCAAGGAAAGAGATAATCTATCTCCTTCTCTGATCCGATCGAGATCGCAGCATTTTTATCTTTGTTGCGATTACGAGAGAATCCGAATGCAAAACCTAATGATCTCTGTTTTTGTTTCTCTTTGAATTTTGCTTCGAATCTCCATTGAAATCTGTATACAGAAGGATGATTTCAAATCCAAGTTTATTGTCTTACACTTGCATTGCGAAAGGAACCGTAGTTCTCGCTGAGTTCGTTTCCAAGGAAGAGCCAGGAATCGAAGCTGTAGCTTTACGATGTATCGAGAACACGCCTCCACATCATTCAATGTTCTCTCATACAGTTCACAAGAAGAGGTACACATTCGCAATCGATGATGATTCGTTTGTTTATTTCGCGATTTTGGATGAAAGTATGGAGAAACCTGAATCATTCTGGGTTTTGAATCGTCTGAGATCAGCTATTGAAGATCTGATTAGAGACGGTGGATCTGATGTTGAAACGTTGATTAATCCGGTTTCGCACTGTCTTCAATTGAAGATTGATCCAATTTTCGCTGAGATTGTTGGTGTTGTTGATTTGGAATTGGATATGGATTTGGTTGGATCACCGAGGAGTGTAGCGAGAGAGAGTCGGAATCCGAGTATTGATTCGTCTAAAGGAAGAAGAGCTGCTTTGATGCCACTTTTGGGGAAGCCATTGAAGGCGTTGAAGAAGAAGAAGAGATTGCATAATGAAGCAAAAGGAGAAGATTCTTGTGAGGTTGGTTCGATTCAGGAGATATCAGAGAAGAATGTTGATTTATGTGGGAATGGTAACAATGGAGTCTTACGCAAGGAACTGAGAAATGGTTTGTTGAGTGATCATCATCATAGACAAAAGGCGAAACAGATATGGAAGAAACATGTTTGGGTTGTGTTGATGTTTGATTTCTGCATCTGTGCTGTTTTATTTGGAATCTGGCTTTGGATTTGTGAAGGGTTTCAATGCATTCAAGGGTAAAAGTTATCATCATCTGTGTACATCTCCAAATTCATATTGTTTGAATCTGCATCAAAATTTGATCATTGACATCTTCTTTTTTCTGGGTATTCGTTTTTTGGATCAAATCTGATCCCTTTTTTTTCTCTGTTATTGTCAATTTTTTTCCAACTTCTTTATTTTAAAATCACAAAAAGTGTTGTTTCCAGGAGGAAACTAGGGTATAGGTTGAATCCTGGCTTACATGTTAGTGATGTTGTTCATTGTATTTTGGAAGTTAAATCATTCACAAGCAAAATGTGTGTGTTGTATTGTCTCTTTTTTTCTTTCTCGTTTTTCTTTTGTTGTTTGATTCCATAAATGGTGCTGTGATTGAACGTGGGTTACACAATAATAGAGGACAACAAAAGATGGTCTCAGATACAGTCGCACGTTAATTATTTTACTAGATATATACGTTGCATCTATAGTCGGCGTATTTAAAAATAATATTCCAAAGAAATATACCAAAATGAAAGTGAATCTAGTAGTAGTTAATCTTATGCTGTAAATCTGTAACAGTCTTAAGGCTTAAGAGTAGAAAAGATGATTACATTACAGACATCAAAAGTGAAAGAGGAGGTTTTGCAAATAATAAAGGGTGAAAGTGTTAAATATGTGTCTCTGTCTCGGTCTCAGCCACAAGGTGTGAGTTTCTTGTTACCTGCACCACGAGGATTATCGTCCTTCCAATCATCAAAAGCTCTAGCTTTCATTACAGCTTCTTCGTCTTCATCATCCTCTTCCTCGTCTTCTTCCTTTCTTCTTAGAGGTTTATCATTGTACCATGATGTCGTTGCTTCTTCAATGGCTTTTTTCGTCTGCTCTTGCCAATCATTCATTATGTTCATCTCTGTTAACCCAGCATCCTCTATGCACATTGTTGGCATCCTACAAAATCCAAGTTTAATCACCATTCTAAAAAATCTCAAAAGAATTGTGATGAGAATGATTTTTTGTTTACCTGTGACTTGGTTGGAAAACCTGAGCTATCATCCTCTCTCTCTCGGTAGAGAGCGGTCCACCCACGATGCTTGCTGGACCGAATATAAGAGGTTGGTTCTTGTGATCGTGACCTTGTGATACAGAAGCTCTTCCTTCTAACACATCTTGTGCAAATGTGGCACAAGTGATTGGTTGTGCCGGTTTAGAGTACTGTATCCTTGCAGCAGCGTCTCTGTGCCAGGTTTCAGCTTTCTTTGTACGATCATCAAGAGCATCCCGAGAGAACCCATCCTCTCCATCCTGATCAAAATATCATCACAATTATCTTCGTTTCTATGTTTATCAAATAGTTTTGTTTGCATGTAAGTAAACTAAGACCACGGTAAGCTACCTTCAACTGTCTTTCCTTTATTGCAGAGAGCATTTCCTCTTCTCTCTTTAGCATTTCCAACAAATCAACAGCCTGTAGCGAAGTTCAATCATAAGAGTGGGCCTCCTCAACTTGTGACAAATCATAGGATTCTAATGAAATGATTTTTAGACTAACCTTACAAATAGCCAAGTTAATTGAGGAGAGCCAGGCCTGTAGAGGAAAGCCATAAGACAAGGCTTAGAAGAAAATCGAATTAGAGAAAACAGCAAAACAAAAAGTGGGACAAACCTCTCTCTCTTCTTCGCTGTCATCATCTGGAATATCATCTTCTCCAGATTCAACTGGAGTCGACAAGGCTGCTGCTTTAGTGGAACGTCCACGTCGCTCCTTCCTTTCTTTAATTTCAAGAAGCTTTGCCTCTGCAGCCTTTTGACGTTTGAAGCGAGCTATCTACAAAGTACAGTAATCATGAACACTCAACACAGATTTGAAAATCCGAAAACCTTAAATTCATTCTTGTCAGGATATAAACTAAAGAAACAAGGCTAAATCTACCTTCAAAGCCCTTCGATCTGCAGGTGCACCAGAACTTCGTGAAGAAGCCTCCAACTCCTCATCTGGAACAAGTTCCATTGCCTCACAGAACGAAAAGAACTCCTAGACACAATAAAAGACTATACATCAATCTAAAGAAATCCAACCAAATGCATATTCCTATTAGCACTAGCATCAAATGGATGCAACAACCTGCAAACACTCAGCAGAAAACTCAGCTTCAACTTTGCATATGAGGCCTTGACAATCTGAATACGGTCCTCCTGTATGATTTTCTCCGTCAACTCCGCAAGATAATAAGGCACCTATAGTCACAAGAAGATATATATCCCTCATCACTTTAAAGAAGTGTTAATGCAAACACATACAAACTTATGATCTTCCAAATAGAGTCTAGAAAAAGCAATTTACCATCGGCCAAAGTTAATCACTTTCAGATAAATCACGTCTTTGCTAATCTAATAACAAAACTAGTATACAAACAAGAGAAACTTTCTCAGATAGCAGAGAAAGTTACCAAAAGGTACTTGAGATTGTTCGTGCTGATATCTTCTTTAGTCTCGTTAGAAGAGAACAAGCCCAATTTTCCGATCATGTCTTCGCATTTCTGAAACATCTCACATCCTTTCTTCACAACATCCTAACAAACAAACAAGAAGCATACCCGGAAATGTCCAAATTTAGTAAAATTACCCTAATCGATTTCGAAATACAAGAAAAGTTAGAAGCTTCCACCTGATCGGTACCAGACTCTGAAGCCGCGAGATGAATTTTCCTTGCTTGCTCGAACAACGCTGATAAAGGCAATTCCTCCATAGACAGACCACCCATCACAAACTAGAAAGCAATTTCTCGATGAAAAAAGAATTCACAAGACGGATTCGAGTTTCTTCGAGAAGTGGATCGGTGAAGTCTTTGAAACTTTTTAGGGTTTCAAATCGAAATCTGGCGAATTTACCGAGTTTAGATGAAACTGTTAACTGCGAAGAGCTTGATAAGATTACGGCTGAGATCATGCCGCGTCAAGTGAAGATGATTATTGGAAATAATATAAGCCGTTAGATCTGTAGACAAGACCTCAAACCGACTCTGTAAAAAATCATCAAGTCAAAGATCGAAAAAGCAGCTTCTTCAACTCTTTCGATGTTCATTCAAAGTTTCAAACACCGACTACGTGCTAATTAATATCTCAAATATAATTTTTAGGTTTATTTTTTATTTTTAATATAAATTTTATTATGTAGTTTTTTTATTTGCCATCATAATTGTTCTAGTAATCTTTAATTGATCAAAGCTATAGCGCCGGACCTACTAGGAAGAGTGGATTCTGATATAGAAACCATTTCGAATTCTCAAAGAAAACGAAAGAATAAATCAAAAATTTAGGAACATCCATGAAACGAAAGTGAAGAAAAAGAAAACACAAAATGGAGGTGAAATCAAGAAGTAGAGAGAATCGAAGAAAACAAGCATAAGATGCGTCCACGGCAAAACGGGATGCTTCAATAGTTGGCCTGAAATGAGATGTTACTTGTCAGATCTAAAAATAAGACATTCATTCATTAGTAAATAAGGGAGTGAAAGGTTCTTACCGGAATTCAGTAAGACAAAGCTCAGTTACGGTTATACTGATGGGCTTGCAAAGGGAAGTGAGTGGCCAATTGGCTGAAAAAATTTCAATATAAATATGTTACAAAAATTAAAGAAGAATGATATAAAGTATTTATGAGCAGAACCTGAGTAATCCCAGAACACTAGCCACCAGCCATTCTTTCAAATCAAGCTTAACGGATGAATTGAAAAGTCCCAGTAACTTTAATACGAATATCTGATATACAAGGAACAAACAGAAAGTATATTTGATTTAGGGATATCTTACTACTAAAAAAAAAAAAAAAGATTAATGTCGTGTTCACTTGTGTACAAAGGACCTACCTGAAATATAATAGTTGAGGTTATAGTAACGAGAAACATATTCTCTCTAAAAATTTCTTTGAAGGTTTGGTCTAGACTTCGGATCTCAAAGTCATTATTAAAAGCCTGCATACAAAAAATAGAAGAAGACTTAAATGATCAACTTGTTCTCCTATGAATGCTAATTCAAATCAAAGAGTGTGAGAAATCGGACATTACCATGCAGAAGACAAATGAATTGAAAATCAACGTGTTCATCACTTTTACGGCATTACCGGTAGGACCATGCTTCAGCTCCAGTATCTTCTCAGAATGCACGAGCGCCAGCGACAGCACTTGGTGAATCACCTGGTTCATGACAGAAGCATTAGTAAAAGGTCTCCCAGTTGTTTTATTTTTCCTAATCTAGATAGCTATGACCAAGAATGATCTCGGATATTAGTGTTCACACATGACAAATCAAGGATTTTAAGCAACATACCTGTATCACCAACTTGTTCCACATCGTTGTATTTATAAGAGGGTCTCTGAATTATATATCCACGTAGACAGATAGTGTGTTTTGACCATAAGTGCAAAACCAACTGTCTTTTTCAGGATTTTGGCACTGATAAAATAAAGTCCCTTTCTAAGACAACTATATTCTGTACTTCTTAACCAAATATGATCATTGATCCTATTCGAATTTGTACCTTATATTAACCGGTGGCTTTCCCATTAGATGGTGAGCTGGTGGTCTATATGCCAACGCTAATGCTCCAAAGATGTCGATAGTAAGATTAAGTAACAGGAGCTGCATCAGGGAAAAGCAAAAAATGGGTTAGGAAAACTGTTTCCAGTCATGGAGAAACTGGATTATCAGACGATGAAGTAACAAAGGATAACATATTCGAACCTGCACGGTATTCAATGGAAATGCATTATGAATTACAACCTCAGCCACACAGATAGCCACAACGGATACACTGACAGTGAGCCGAAATAGGACACATCTCTGGATATTAGTGTATAGATATCGACACCATAGGATAACCTGCATTATCCAAAACAAGCTTTTAGTATCTTCCTGGCAACAATCAAAATGATTTAAACGAAATTTCATTGACAAAAGGTCAAGGTTTGCTCATCATTATTGGTATGCATTCTATACTACCGGCCTAAGCTCGTCATTTCAACCATATGCTTATAATACACTAACCTTGATGATCGTAGCAAATTCGCCATCCAATATTATGATATCGGACTTCTCTTTTGCCGCTGCAGTTCCTCCAATTCCCATTGCAAGGCCTACATCCGCCTGTGCAAGGAAAAGATGAAGTGTGGGTTGTAGTGATGATGGATATGTCTTTCAGTGATAATAATTCATATTCTCTTTGAAAGAGTGTGATGAGTTATTGAGTTTTAATAAGATAACTACAGACCGCCATTAGTGTCTCTGAATCATGTATTCCCATCCCAGTGGCTGCAACGACATGTTGTCTTTTCTTCAGTGCTTTGACAAACAGAAGGTTTTCGCTGGGAGAAGATTCAGCAAGAACCTTCACATAGAGTACAGTGTGTTAATTTTTCGCTCAATCCAGTTCTTGACCCAGTCAGCTAATATAGACCTATAAGAAATTTATGTCAAGATAGCAATCTGACCAACATAGTTAGTTTCCCATCAACATATAGGTGTACAACAAGTTCACTCGGCAAGGTGTCACAGTGTGACAATTGATACTGAATTCAATTATCTTATCAAATGATCCCACTCGTCGATGTATCATGATATGCACAGAAAATTTATATGTTAAAACTTAAAACCATATAAATAGAAGAATGGATTCATACTAAGAGATCTTCGACGCGCTCCTCTCTTTCTAGATCGGAAAGATTACGAAATTCAGCTCCTGTCAATATATTACCGTCAGATGCCTCGTCAAATATCCCACATTTCTTTGCTATAGCTGTTGCAGTCAAAATGTCATCGTCCGTCACCATGCGAACCTGAAAGTCAACATCCTTCCACTTAGAAAGTAGACTAATAAAAGGCGTGACTTGAAGACAAAAATTGGTTAAGCTTGTCTTCTGCAACAAATAGTATAGGTGTCATCAGATATTATGAAGTACCTAGTGATAAATTGGTGCTTCCACACAATTTATAGCAACTCAGAAAATATAACTAATAAGTCAAACTCAGTTAGAGATAACGAGAATTCAGAATGAAAAGAAAATCTCTCTGCTAATAAAAGTCACAAACTTCAAGTGCATAGCAAAACAGGCAGTGGCATAACAAAAGAAAATACGGAAAAAAAAAAAAAACATGGCACCTTAACACCTCCGGATTGGCACAGTTGGATCTCTTCCTTTGTGCCTGGCCGGCAAGGATCCTGCACGTTTAAAAACATTGGATAAGTAATGGTACTAAAAAGAGACTTTTAGGCTTTGTAGGAAGTGGAATCAGGTACCAATTCTCATTGATGCAAACTTAAGTTTTAGAATGGGTGCTGGAAATGTTACCTCTATACCAATAATAGCCAACAAAACAAGTTTTCCAGGTAGACTAGGTAGTCGAGAAAGTGCCTCATTGGATGGAAGTTTTTCCAGTTCATAGGGTTGATAAGCAAGTGCAGCACAACGCAATCCTCTCTCACACATGTATTTAATTGTTTCTTCAAAACCCTTAAGAGAGAATGGACTTTCATATGAAAAAAAAACCAACAAGAAATAATAGTGTTTGGGAATTAGTCATCTACGCTCATAAACAAACCTTTCGTTTCTGTTCATCAATAGCTATGGGGTTGTCGGACCCATCCATATACTTTTCGCATGAATTCAGAATAATCTTTGCAGATCCTTTCCAATGAACGAGGGCTCGTGTACTAAGCTATCAATGAATAATAATAAGAAAAACAGCTATATAAGTATCAAACATAGCATAAAATATGCAGACAGATCTACAGTCATAAAAAATTCCAGAGTTCTTACAAAGCTGGCCTGGAATATCTGTGTCAAGTGAAAATAGGGAGATGCATAAATTTGGTCAGCAACAATATAGAAAAGGTAATGTTACCTTTAATGCCACACCTCCATATTTCTTGTCTGGGTTGAATGGTATAGTATGACGGCCTAATGATGCCGACCTAACATCGTCAAATTTCATTCCCAACTACAAATACAAGTAACTAACAGTCATTAGAAACTTAATACCTATAGCAAGTAGTAATGTAAGATTAGAAAGAAACAAAACCTTATTCCCAAAGCTAAGAATGGCTTGTTCTGTTGGTGAAACTCCCTATATAAAATTATGAAATTATTAAGAATAATTTATATAAAAGTAACCATAATACAGAAATATAACACTGTGATCCAGGACACATTTACCGTTTCAAGAACAACACTGCCATTTGTGTTTTGGGCAATGCCTTCTATGATTAGTTCTTTAAGTAAGGTGGGCAACTGTGAACCATTATCCATATCTTGCATTCTTATTTCTCCAGCCCAGACATCAACCACCGACATCTGCTTAGCAGAAAATAAATGCTTAAATTGGTACTCAGGAAGATCAAGAGAAGCAGGAAAGAGCTGATTGCATATAAAAGAAAGCACTTGCCTTATTCAAAGTTAAAACTCCAGTTTTATGACACAGTATAGTTGTAACATGCCCCATTCTTTCACATGCAGAGGGTGTCTGCACCTGAAAGACATTTACTGAATTTTAGTACATGTTGATGCTCTAAGGACATTGAAAATTTTGAAATATAGAAGTAGGGTACCAAAGCGCTGTCTGTCATCATTTTTCTTGCTGTATTTGCAAAGCTGATGTGATGAGGAAAATGATATGATGAGAAACAAGAATAAGTAACTGTAAAGATAAAAATATTAAATTTCAATGACAAAGTAGAAGGATGCATTTTAAGATTATGCCACTCTTTGAATAGCAATAGGATGTATAATCTAGTTTGCTACACTTACCAGAAACCTAGGTATTCAACAGGCTCATTCTGGTAGTATTTTCTTTAAACAAAATTTTCAAAGGAAAGGAGACTTACTTCAAGAGAACAGCTATAGGAAGTCCAACAGGCACTCCCACTATTATTGTTGCGATCTGCAAAATCCATGTTTTTGCGACAAGGTTACAAAAAAATACCATTACTGTAGTCGCGAAGGTAAAGTTCAGCATTACTGTACCCCAAAACTCAGGGATTTAATCACAAATTCTGTTGCTTCTTTGGCAGTGGTAATTCCAAGGATAAACATTGGATTTCCATCTGATGTTTTGGTCCGACCATAAAAGTATCTGGAATTAAAAGGGTTGTTACTTGTTAGTCCTTATTGCCAGGATGGAGCTGAAGATCTTAGATCTGAATGCATTACATAAAGATGATGGGTACATTGTAAAAAAAGACAGACTTACCGGCATAATTGAACGATACAGGCAACTAAAGCAAACAAAACGACTAAGCAGCTGGCAGAATTTGCAATCCATTTCAAGTATACCTAGTAAAACGAATCACAGGTGATTAATGCGCAAACTATCATAAGTAGCAAGGAATTAGTATTCAATAAAACTGACCTGAAAGGGTTTTTCCTCATCAGTATCATGTGCAATCTCCATCATCTGCCCCCATTCAGTATTCATTCCAACACTTGTAACCTTAAATACACGGCGGACGAATAAAGTGAATTAGATGACCAATAACCATGTACAGAGAAAGCAAGACGGAAGCCAATCTTCTATTTCATAAAGAAGAATGTTTCTTTTTTCAGCCAAAATAATCCATAAAGAACTTTCCAATGATAGAACAGTGTTCAGAATAACAGAAATACCGACCGCTCTAGTGTCAAACAACAAACCATAGTAATCGCAAGTTGCAGAAATATGCTACAACGGGAAGCCAGATTCTTGGGTCTAAGAAACCAATGCATTTTTAAACTATGTATTTTCCTTGAACCATTGGAGAAAGCAGGCTTTTCCCAGGAGATGTAAAATTTTGAAATGCATATTTCACTTCTGATTGAACTATGTCTTTTTCTAATATTCATAATTCAGAGTATGTGTTTTGCACCGCCAACAAAAAAAATTCTAAGTTACTTCTTTTATCTCAATTTCACATTTTTCCAGATCAATAAATCTATTGCTTTACTGATAGTAATAAAAACAATCTTCAATGCCTTGCTTATCTTTTTATTGTCACTAGAATAAGAGACAACATTGAGACAAAGAAAGGAAAGCTGTTTGCACTTTGCAGAAACACAAAAAAGCTTTCAATGCAGACTTGTTTTGTTACAAAGAGTCTATTATGGTTATTTTCTCATCCATGTCAACATGGGTTATCACTTTCAACATAGACCTCCTCTTTACTAAAAGCAGCTATAATATTTACGAAATGGATGTATCAAACATTAACACGAAACTAAGAGACGTAGCTCTAGAGCTTACCAGCATTGTACCTATGCCCTCTATCAGTTTTGAACCAGATAATAGGAATGGATCAATTTGAAGATCTTTTTGAACCTGCTAATTGTAACGATAGATTAGAAAAACAGTAGAGATAATGATATAGCTCATCAACAGGGGTACATCATACAATGTCATGTGGGCCAGTTATTTCTTGCTCGTCAATTTTCAATGAGTTAGCATGAAACAGGACACCATCTGCAGGTACCTGGAGCATTAATCATACTTCAGACCAATTGTGAAGCTCAAGATAAAGAAGCCAAACAATGATTACTATTAAAAGTGTGATGCTTACCTGACCACCATTCCTCAGGGGTACAATATCGCCCACAACAATATCATAAATAGAAACCCAGACGCTTCCTCCACCTCTAGTCACCTGTGACGAAAAACGTTCAGCACAAATTGTGCGTAACAACAACATACACAAATGAATAAAAAAAACTGTCTGCAGGAACACACATATAAGTGTACGTTTCTCTTCTCCTTAGTCAACTTTTCAAACTGAAGAGACTGCCAGTACTCTGTGCTAGCTGCAAAATGAAAGAAAAAACAATATTTTTCAGATTGTTTCCATATTCTCTCATCTGAGAATTGATTGATGTACTAAGACAAATATAATTAAGTTAGCTAAGCAACTCCAAGAGCATCAAATAGTACTACAATACCTCTCACAATGATGTCAAGTATAATTAACAACACGACGCACGGTTCTTCATACCATCCATCATCGATAGCCTGCAAGTGGCAAGAGAGGGTGAGATAGATACAGGAAATAAGTTCAGACTGCAGAGCCCAAAATCTAAAAGACAAAAAGCAACACCTAAAGAGAGCCACATGATATATATATATATGGCTGAACAAAACAATGAATCTACGTCAGAGTAACAGTGTAACTCTCAAGAAACCAGGAGTAATCCTAATGTCAAACACAAGTACCAAAGAAAGTAAAAGAAGGATTTTGATTCATCTTGTAGAGAAAGAAAAAAACTCACTTTTCTTCTGATTCGCAGGAGCGATTGAATCACAGCAGCAAGCGTGATAAGCAGAGAAGGAGGAAACTGGCTAGCTTTCCAGATAAAGCGCTACAACAACCAATGGAAAAATTGAAAATCTTCCACAAAATAATTTAACCTAAAACTCAGAAGAGAATTTAAAAAGCTTTGCCAAACGATTTGTCTAATTTACCGACAAACTCTTTCCCTTCTTGCAGGGGTATGTGTTTGACCCAAATGTTTGCCTACGATGTAGAATCTCATCATCATCATCATCTATGCCCACTTTCAGGTTAGTCTTCAGCAGATTTGATAATCCAATAACCTTTTGTATCAATCAGAGGAAATCATAAGTAAGAAACATTGACACAAAAAAAAAAAAAAAAAAGATATGGTTAATCAGAAGTGCTTGCCCCGTTATATCGATTCAAAGCTTCAAGGCTACGATCTCTGACTAGTTGAACGAGTTCCTCCAATCCAATGTCAAATTCGCAAGCTGGTGAGTTTCCAGATTCACAACAGAAAATAATCGGAAATTTTGGTTCGGTTTGGGTCTGGAATTTTTCCTGTTATATTCAAATTCGCATTAATGAAATTTATACCCATCCAAATTGCAGCTGAGATGAGAATTGAATTAAACCAAAAAGGCAAAAACTAAAAAAAATATCCGATTCTCCAACATGAAATTTATGGTTCAAAAGGGAACCGAGAATATACCTACCGTTTGCTGGTTCTGCTTCTGGGTGATCATCATCATCGTCGAGTACAGACTTATCATAGATAAATTTCAGATTAGAGAAAAATCAAGTTTATAAGCGAGAAACTTATGAGAATTTACGCTTACTGCTTGGTCATGTGCTCATCGACATCTCGATCTCGTCCTTGTCGTTTTTCACCAGACAGAATGCTTTCTTCAACGTCGTAACCGGTAAGATGAGCACAGTCCAAAACCACGCAATGAGCATAGAGGTGCGTTCGTTGTTACTAACGACACCCATCTCCAAATCTTCTGGTGTAATCTCAACTACTACAGCTTCAGAGTCACTGTCTTGGATGACATTCTCCGACGCATCTTCAGCTGCAGGAGCAGAGTAACATCAGGAGCTGTGAAGCCGAGACCAACCTCCAGATCTTCCGGCACCCTTTTGCACCGAGACCAACCTCCAGATCTTCCGGCACCCTTTTGCACATTTTGAATTCGGTACTCTGCGCAACTAGACAACTCTGCTTAGGGTTTGTTTTACAATTTTAAAAATGGCTGGCAGACTATTTATAAGGTGCAAGAAAGACGACTTGTATTATTTTTTTTTTAAACTATTTACAAATAAGGTGAAAGAAACCGTGAAATGTAACGGTGTTATAATTTTTTATTATTCAAAAGGAAATTTCCAAGAAGTTTTCCTATTGTACCACCTGAAGGCCCCTGAACACAAGACATAAACAATTTTTCTCAATTTGCACTTAATTCCCAATTTTCCTTTTCTTTGCTTATCTGTTACAGAATTATAAATTGAAACTTTTTCATGGATGTTAATATTTCTTTCTTGTATCTTTTGATATCCATATTGCTATACTAATATTTTCCCTATAAAATAATATTATATTTTATGAATTATAATTATTAACATTTTAATGATATTAAGATTACGTAAATTGAGCAATGTCGTAACCAGTAAGATGAGCAACGTCATTAGAGCGTCTGAAGATGGAATTTCCAAAAATTATAAAAATATCAATATTAGTTAGGAATTTAAAATTATTTAAAAATAAATGTGTCGTCGTAGACTTGATCGTAGTTAGATAGAGCAGGGCACAAATACGGCATGCCAGAATGCTTCTCCAGCCAAAAGATGGTCTAGCACTTAAAGCAGTCTTAAAAAACCCAGAATTCACATAATATCTACTCTTCAACAACCTAGCAAAAAGACACTCAGGTGATTGAAGAAGTCTCCACGCTTGCTTTGCCAACAGAGCCTGGTTGAAGGATTGTATGTCTCTGAAACCCAGTCCACCAAAATCTTTAGGTAAACAAAGCCGCTCCCAACTTTGCCAATGGATATTTCTTGAATGCTCACACGAATCCCACCAAAAGCAGCCATTGCACTCTCAAGATTTTCACAGGTTGTAATAGGTAATTTAAAGCAAGAAAATAGCAAAAACGGGCATCACTAACACAACCGACTTTAACAACACCTCTTTCCCACCTTGGGATAAGTACCTAGTGAACCAACCTGCTAACTTTGCTTTCAGTCTATCTTTAAGGTAGTTGAGCATATCGACTTTTGAGCCACTGAAACATTCTGGAAGACCCAGATAAGTACCCGCTCCACCCTTATTTGAAATTTCCAGAACAGCTTGAATGATGCCTTTATTAATAACATCCACCTTTGCTCCAAAAGTGATGGAGGATTTGGATAGATTAATGGTCTGTCCCGTTGCATCACCATAGGTCTTCAGAATGTTTTGCAAAACCAGACTTTGCTCTCTAGAGGCTTTGCAAAGGAAGAGACTATCGTCGGTAAATAATAGATGATGAACTACCGGACCATTATTAGAGAACTGAATTCCTTCCAATCTACCTTCCCATTGAGCCTTGTTCAAAAGATGATAAAGACCCTCTGTACAAAGCACAAAAAGAAAGGGCGATAAAGGGTCACCTTGTCTTAGACCTCTCTGAGGAGTAATTAGGCCAAAAGGAGCATCATTGATCAACACAGAGTAAGTGACAGAAGATACACAAATCATGATCCAATTGACCCATTTCTGATGGAACCCCAAAGCAAGCAGTAGGGACCGAAGATAGCTCCATTCAACGCGGTCGTAGGCTTTGGACATATCAGATTTAACCGCCATAACTCAGCAGAGATACGAGGATA